GTGTGTGCAGAGCAGAAAGTCCCCTAAGTACCAACCTTGAGTATAATGGAAGGTTGAGAAGCACTGCTTTAAATTAAAGCCTTCAATTTCGGCGAAGTGCATCCAGTTCCTATTGGTCGCGAAAGTGAGAGATTGATTGGTCGATACGTGACATTTGTCGAAAATATGACGCATGCGTCGTGATTGTTCGGGAATATTCGTTAGCGTTCGGGAAAGTGTCGCCATTCGCGAAAGACAGCGCACTTGAGAAGGCCCGTCGCAGGCTGTCTCGACGTGTATGTTTTGAATAGTTCGCAACATGTTAATGAGTTTTTACCAAGTTTTTATTAAAAATTCATGCAGTGTATTCAGTATACGAAAGAAAATTTTTAGTGCAAGACATTTACCCTCTTGATCGAGTATTTTCGTTAGTATCAATTGTGCAATAAGGAAGGCGAAGAACAATGCCTGGCAAAGGGAGCAGAAAAGGAAAATCCGGTAAGAACTGGCTCGATTTTTCGATCGTTTTCTTTACGGTGTACAATTCACTGGCATATTTGTTTTCAAGAAGATGAGAATGATTTTCGTGACAGAACACGTGGTAGACAATTATTAACATTATCCGTCTAGGTCTAGACGAATGACTCATCCTGTATATAAATCTCATTTATTTCGTCTTACGTCACGAATACTTAGTCAATTAGCGTATTTTTCTTTTAACAACCGCGTGTGCACACGATGAATTATTTCCATGGCCAAGAAATCGCGTATCGATTCACATAATATCTGGAACTATCTTGAATCGAGCCATCGTTTGTGCCACCATCTCTTATACCCATGTGACTTTCATGCTTTCCGCACATGGATCTTTGGGTTAGAAAACTACCAGGAAAATTTAGATGTTTTTAATGATTCGAGAAAATATGTGATTGAAATTCTCCAACGACAATAATCCTGCGTTAACTTCGTCGATCGGATTTCTTGTGTCGAATCACAAGGAAACAAAATATCTCGAACAGGAGATATACGTAAGGGTTAGATGCATGAATTGTACTTTTTGCGATGATCAACCATGACTTTTTCCGAATCGTTTACGTTAAATTTAGATCGTCACGCTTGGTACACCTTTGAATATTTACGATTCATTAAAATGGTTTCACTGAAATTTTATTATAACACCATTCGCAGACGCGGACAATGTTCGTCGTGTTTTATTTTTCACCTAAGATAAAATTTCATTGTTTTGAACGTATGCATGAAATCTTTAGAAACATCATTATTTCGATAGCGTTTAGTACGTATTTTAGTTTATGAATTAGTATTTTTGTATGGATCATGTTCTCCAATGAGCTTGTGAAAAAGTTGAACTTGTTTTAAGGAATGCAGGTACGGTATTATAAATACCTCTAATGAAAGGAAATGTGCATCCACGTATATCGTACAATGCGTAACAATTTAATTTCTCTTTATAAATTGAGTTACAAAAGAATATCAATTTCAGTGTTAGAACTTTCATTTTTTTTTGTATCAATGCTATCTTATCAGATATATCATATGTAGCACAATTATTTCAGATGTCAAGAGTACCAGCTGTTTAGACTTTACATTATGTAATATAACGTTTACTTTCAACAGCTGTTCAGTTTCAATTCATTTTTATAACTTAATTGTAAATATTGATGTAACGATATAAAAAATATATTTTTCATTTCAGTATATAAAATTATTTTTTTCTTAACATTTCAAGATTATTTTAATTTCCTTAGAGGTCCAATTACTGTATTGTATCTTCTAAAGACTTTATCAGTTACATAGTTACCAAATGACATAGTAATACATCTGGTAAAACAATTGAATAAATAAAAGAACACTTGTTTTATTTTCTCTGGCTATACAATAGCTTAAAATGCAAAAGTACAACCATGACTTATCAGAAATACTTACTAATATCATTTGTGATATGATAAAAGAGGAGCGTCACTTGTATTTAAGTAATGCAGCCATCTGTGGACTTTGCATGTTGTCCATATCTGGGTGACAGTCTAGTTAGAGTTATCAACGAATGTTTCATTGATACCATTTCCCCAATCCTGTCTATGACCAAGCTTATGCCAACAATTGTTTGACATTACCTGTTTGCTGATATATCTGGCATACCTTATTACAGAGGTGTCCAGACTAAGCTCATGGAAATTTGATGAATGCATATATTTTATTTTATATTGTGTATGATGAATATATATTTGTTGTTCTGGCCCCTTTATTAGGTGATATGGATATATTCGCTATAATTCAGATTTTTAAAATCTCAGCTTGGACAGCTCTGACTTACTGACAAGAGAACTTCAGTACTTGATATATGATTTATGTTGATTTACACAATATAACTACAATAGATATTACAGATATAGGTAATATATTGAAGAATAAAACAATTATTTAAATCCATTATCTTTTGGATTGTTTTGCGTCATATTCGCAAACATATGCACACTTGCATTCTCACTATTCTCAATTTTTTTGCATCATACATAAGGTACTAATACAGCAGCATCAAAATTTGAGTTTAATAACTTAGAATTTTGCTATCTTTTGATATTTTTCTATTAAACAATTTGGTATCATATTATAATCCCATTGTATAGTAAGCATAATAAGGAAAGCATTTCTTAAACAGGTCACGGTGGAAAAAAAGCTGAGTTAACATCCGACGAGGATTCGATTAACAATGATGCATGCAGCGTATCCAGCAGTCAATCTGATAATCGCAGCATGTTGGACGATGTGAACGATAACAACGAAGTCGAAGAATTCTCACAGCAAGAAGCGTTCGAGGAGAAATTAAAAGAAGCGATAGATGGTCTAACGCAGAGAAGTGCAAAGGGCAGAACAGTTTGCTTCAATGGAATTGAAAAAATTTTTGCTATTAAGTATGTGCCAGATTTTGTAGAGGACAGGAAAATGACTATTGCTGATGCAGTAGAACGAGGTTTAAAAAAAGGACGTAGCGAAGAACAGTCGACAGCAGCCAGATTAAGTACTTTGCTTTGCGTTCAATTGGGAGCATTTGAAAGTGCAGAAACAGTCTGTAAAGATTTAAAAAGTACTTTGACGTTCATTGCTAGCGATACAACAGCTTCGACTCAAGCTCGTTCTGAGGTGAGCTGAAAAGTAATCATTATATAATAATTGCAGTAAAACCTGTTTAAGATGCGATGGAGGTAACGACATGTTTGCAGTCAAAGTGTTAACGACAAAATAATAAATTTTAATAAAACTTGCAGTGCTGCTGGGCTTTAAGCATGAATCAATTTTTATCGGGCAACGATGTAGTAGATACTATCGAAATTGTGCAATTACTGTCTGGTATATTTTCTGGTTCCTATTTGAAAGGAAATGGAGCTATACAAAATATTTCATCCGAAATGGCAGCATTACATGCAACAGCAATCTCATCATGGACACTTCTTTTAACAGTTATGAGCCCGGCTGATATACATAATTTACTTGCAAGTGATAGAACCAATACTTACATGCCGTGAGTATTTTAGCTATGTATACTTATCCGTTTAGGACCGTATATGGACATTAATGTAAATTGGTAACCAAAAATCAATTTTATTTCAGTTCTTTGAACAGACTGCGAGAATTACTCGAATCACCACATTTGGATGTACGGTTATCAGCTGGAGAAGCTCTTGCTGTAATATTTGAACTTGGTCGTGATTTCTCTTGCGATTACGAACAAGGCTGGTCATTGGATTTAATTGAAGTATTAAAAGAATTGGCTACAGATTCCAACAAGTACAGAGCGAAGAAAGATCGGAAGCAACAAAGAGCTAATTTCAGAGATATACTTCACTACATAGAAGTATGTTTCTTAACGAATGTATCAATAATGTTTGTAGTTGTGTGCTATATTACTAATTACTATTGCTATAATCGTTATTAGGAAGATATTGTACCAGAAATGCACGTGAAATTCGGTCAAGAAGTTCTATATTTAGAAGGATGGTGTGCACGAACTCAGTATAACGCATGCTGTAGACTACTGGGTCCGGGTATTAATATTCACCTCGCTGAAAATCAACTTTTACGTGAAATTTTCCACCTTGGCAACAAAGTTTTACCAATACAACCAAATCAAAAAACTACCAAATTGGAAAGGGTAAGATTATTAATGCGGGAATATGAACGTCAATTAGAATTTGTAATTCCATAATTAACGAAACGTTTCAATTTTGTTCACAGACATTGATGAACGCAGCTGCATTTAAGGCACGCACTATTCAACGTAACAAGAACAGAGATAAACGATCAGCAGCCTTGGCACCGTAATTCTTCATCTTTCTGCTTTTATATATTAAATAACTTGTTTTAGGATAATGCAAACTCGATTACACTTTTTATTTATTACAACTATTCGATCATGAGAAACTATTTAATACTATATAGTTTTCGGTAATCGTTTAGTTTAAATTGTAAATAGAGTTGAATATTGACAAGAAGATTAGTTAAATGTTTTCATTTGGCACAATTAAAAATTGTTTTAACCCGTTAGCCAAAAGCAACGTTGTACAATGTTATTTAGTGCTACTTAAGTTTTGTATATACAGAACTAAAATATGTATATACGAAAAACACTTAGTACAATAACGACTTATATTGTTTCCTTCGCATAGCGAAGTTATTGATGTCAATTGATGATTTTGCGAAGTTTAATAACGTTAACATTTGCCACGATAGTGTATGCAAACAAAAAATTAGAACATTTGTTTACTACATGAATTTTTCTAAATTTTAATAATCGAGTTACTATGAATATTTTAACGTTCACAAATAACTTCTTGTTTCAAGTGCACGTTACATCGTACACAATATCTGATCATTCTTCTTAATTAGATGTAACTATCTAAGTAAGATATTTCATTAAAAATATATACTGGCATTGTACATAATTACCAAGTTATGACATAGCATAGGAATATTGATTATATCACGTAATAAAATAAAGTGAAATACTTGCAATTTTTTTAACTTTATTACAATTTCAATAATAGTACAATCTTTGCACATAACAATCCAACATATATTTTTAAATAATCCATCTCTTGTAGATTTATATTTACATCACAGCTTGGTCATGAAAGTGTAAAGAAATTACCCTGATTAAATCGAATACAAGGTTATAGTACGATGGATGCACACAATACTCTTTACATATATATCATATACAATCCATGAAATTCCTTTAGTTCTGACACCGGGAGATTGAAAAAGGGCCGGGAAAGTCAGGTACTAATCAAACGTCCTCTCATAAATTAAATATGCATTGTAGTAATGTTTTCTTTTTTCGACTAGTTATATGGAAGTATATTAAGAAAGTCAACCGATATAAAATGTTTGTAATACTCAAATTACTCCACTAGAGAGTAATTGAGTTAATTGCATAGGTACGTTATAAGTGTAATTTTAACGTTTGATTTTTAAATTCTTTTTCGGATAGCATGTGCCATCTGTATCCCAATATTCTAGAGACTTCTTTCTCGGTAGTTTCATAGCTGCGACTACTCGTTTTAATCCATTGATAATGTTCCGGTGACCAATTCAATATTTTCAACCAATCTCTATCGCATCTCTTTAAAACTGCGTTTCGTCGGACATGTAAACAACGCAAAGCCTTGGCGGTAGAAACAATTTCTAAAATCGTAGCTGTTGATACCTTATCTCGGATCATCTGTACAAAAATATTCCACGGGTGTAAAATTCGATCAGAGTACTTGTTTAAAATTAATCAGACGTTTTTCAAACATCCACCAGTTACTTCAATGATTCTTAACTTGTTGAAGTTTACAGCACAGTTTATAAAGTTTTTAATATTTTTAAAACTGTTAGAAAATAATTCTCTGTTTTCTTTAGTTTACTTTCTCTGAATTGATACAATGGAAATATATGTTTGGTCATTAGACAATACAAACGTAATTTTATATAAAAAATAAACAAAAAATCGTATATCATCCTCTTTATATTTTTTTTGTGCTATAGCATAGTGGTTAAGAATCACAGAGTTAGTTATTTCTACATCACAATTGCATGAACTGTAATACAAAAACGTAAAAAATATTGGGGAAACCAATCCGTGTAAACGTGTAACTTTAAATCGAAACATATAGCTTTACTGAACTAAGATCAACCCAATCCTTAGCCAAGTTATGAAATGTGTCATGGTAAAATGTTTGCCTCTCACTGACTGGCTTCCAAGTCATTGATACAATAATCGATCTGTATCTATGTCTGTTGCCTTGTATACTATTCGCAGATCATTGATATTGCCACACGACATATGTACATAAATAGATCTCTAAAAGGTCCAAGAGAAGTTTTTAACGATTTTAACATATTTCTTAGAGCTCGTGTTATATGTACCAGGTTACAGTTTTGTTAGATGAAACTTACAAGAAGGGTAATAAAGCCTTTTGTACAACAAGAATCTGAATGCATGCCAACACACCATAAGAACTTTGTTAGAATCAGTATTTTAGGAAAGCTATCGAGTACAACATCGGAAATTCGTTCAAACACAAAATGCTACCAGTGTATGAAGATTTGGACACATTTTGCAGAATTGCACTAATGCTTCATCCAATCTTTGCGCAAAATTTCTATGCAAGAAGTATCTTGTCAGTCCTTTGAAAGCGTATACTCTTATCGTTGATGCAAAAAATGTTCCATGAGTATGAACAGTGGAGGATGAAATCTGTAACGTTTATTATTAATATTAAATCGTGAAGTAAGCCTTCTTATTCCATAGTATACACTGACCTGTGTATTTGGATTATCTACAACAATACTATGACACGGAATACCGCCGTGCTCCAATAAATCAATGGGCAAAAGTATATCTGTGGGCTTGTAACTTTCCACTTCAAAATGTACTTTAAGGTAAGGATTATTTTCTTTCATTTTTATCCAAGATTTTCTTTTAGGCTGAATCAATAAAGTTTTGAAACCAAATTAAAAGTTGAAAATAAAATGACGCGTTCGAAATAATACATCCTTAACTAATACTGATATTTCTATTACCAATCTCATTGTTGTATCCTTTGGACTATAGCGATTTTGAACGATATGAAGATGTTTCAATTTAGTGTACCCAATTAAATCTATTACATCTTCGTGAAGATTTTGAGGACTAATGATCAATACCTTTGCAAATAAAAGGATATTTTAAACCAGTGTTCGAATCTACTTTAAGTTCTTTATTAAGCAAAACTTACTTTTAGATTAATAAATACTCCAACATGTAAGAGGGGGCAATAATACCTTGTGGTGTTAATTAATACTAATTTTGACAATGTTTGCGTACAATTCGCACAAATATCATCCATTAAATGTAAAGCTTCTTTACTGTCTAACATAAGATCTATTAACTCTAAACATCTTATGTTACATAAATTACGCATAAGTCTTTTCAATGCTTCCAACAATTTTCCACCGGTACCAAACAGTCTGATGCGGTCAGGATCATCTCTGTTTGCCATATTGCAAGGAAACGTAAATTTAAGTCGCCTGATATAGGTACCGACTCCTGCCACCGACGTATTATCAGACCCTTGTTTCTCCGTATACCAAGATATCATATTCATAAACTCGTAAAGATTATAAAAGTTTAACATAGGCTCGAAAACCAACGAACGAAAATTTTGACCAACTTTATTTAAACACGCAGATGTTCTCATATGATCCAAAACATACTGCCACCCACTGTAATAGTTAAACTTGCCCCTAGTAAGCGTGGTATCCTCTAATGTAAACGTTGACCATACGCTTTGCAACTTAAAGGCACGGTACCATGATCTGCACACCAAAGATGCATAATAGCGTTCACGAACGGTTAGGTAAGAAAAAACTTTCTCTAGAATTATGTCAGGCGTTTCATCCCAATGACTGTATATTTTCTTTTTTTTGTCCTCTTCGGTGTCTTCGTCGTCAAGGTCTATATACAACGCTATGAAATTTCATTAAAACATAAAATACAAGACAATCGTTCAGAATTTATACTACTTTGCAATGCAGAGTTGTACGCTGGACTGTTACTCTAAAAACATACCGATAGCTTACGCGACGTAAGCACAGAGTTAATAGTTCCAGAATATTCATTTCTTTTTTACCGTGCTTTCTGACACTTATCGTTCTGTAACCTGCAATATTCCAATGCCTACCTTTATTCTCCCCGTCGAATTTCCAACAGCCCTGGCTCATTTTCGCCGCGAATCACTGCCGATACTCTGTCAAAATATAATTATCGTGCGGCTATGACAAAGTATTTCTATGCAATATTTCTAAAAATACACTAAAATAGCAAGGGGACGTCGCACCGACCGAGCATCTCCATGATGTAGCCTAACGATAGGATATTCTTAGATTTTATACACCGTAGTGAACTCTATATTCTCGTACCGGTAAAATTTACGATGCTATTAGAATCAACCAATCGAATGATATTGTTGACAATCATACATAATGCGACTCATTAAGTGCGGACAGTTGTAAGGTTACGATTATGTGTTATTTGTTTTGATTGTTCAGCTCGAGCAAGTATTTGATTCAAATCACGGATTTCTACGGGCAGCTGTAAAAACAAAAATCGGCTGGTCTAACCACGGACATAGGAATATAGGGACCGTACCAGTGATGGGCAAAACCCTAGGCTTCGAATAAATCTGAAATTTGCTGATATGTTTGTCTCGTTTCCTCTTTTCAAAATTTTCCAAAGAAAGAAACGAGACAAACATATCGGCAAACTTCAGATTTATTCGAAGTCTAGGGTTTTGCCCATCTCTGGACCGTACATAGCAGAATCCGGAGTAAAGCCATGTCCGCCATATTACGTTACTCTTTCAAATTCATAAGACTGCTAGACATCTGCATACAGACTATAGTCTATGGCTAAACGAGTATCCCCCTTTGAGTACATAAAATGTACTTTCGTATAAAGAATACACTTGCATATATACTTTTATATTTTTATTCTACATATTGCGGAGCGACAGACTGCATATTATACTTGTTAATTCTTTTACTTGGTAAAAAAATAACCTTGGTACGGTACAGTCAGGTACAGTTCCTGATAAAACATTTTTCTCTAGATTTCTAATCTAGTGATTTCGTATTTTCATTTCGACGATACAGAATCGGGCGAATAAATTCACACGAGATGAAAATGTGAGAAGTGAGTGATCTTACTTGAATTACAAAATCGAATCGCTCAATTTCGGCATCGACGATTAGAGTACGATGTACCTCCTTTTCCTAGGATATTTCCTTTCATATCCTGGTACCTTTCCCTTTAGTTTCCCTTCATTTCTTGGTATAATTTCTTAGAGGCAGCGCCCTCTAGATCACTGCGTGGAATTCTCCAGTTACCCACATTGCAAAATAAGTTGTTGCATAAAACGTACGTAATTTACACATGAAATTCGAGATTCCAATAACATTTGTCTTTCACAAACTCATAAAACCATGTATTTAATCAAAGTAACGATTTTTCAAATTCTCATTGTAGCAAGTACTTATTACGCTACTTTCTCTTTCATGATTTATCGGAAAATAATCAGTTCCACTGTCCTTTCAGGTTTATTCCCTATTTAAAACGTTATTCTTGAAAATTGAAAAATTTCGCTATCATAAGTTTGGCTACCGTGATCGTAGAAAATAGGTCAAAATATCACACTCCCCGGGACATCGTGGTCGAAACAAAGTTTTCATGGCCCAAAATAGGGGGCAGTGAGTGTTACGCATAGGGATGTCCCGATTTGTGAAAGGAACGCGGTAATTCCTCTTTTGTTCGCAAACATATTTACACACGCTTAGTTTTGAGTATGTGTAGAGGTTTGTTACTTTAAAAATCTTGTTCGTTTTGCATGAACACAGTGATTTGCACGAGTTTGATATGCATTCACGAGAAACACAACCTAATGACGCGTTATTTACCTGGTTACAGGTTACGTGCAGCATGTTTCATCGCATCATGAAATCGTGAATCGTATGAATTCCTTTGCATTCTATGAATCTCGTTATTTATTTATTTCGAGATTTTGTCGAAAGGTTATATATAAATGGAGTCGATGTCTCCGCCTCCAGCCAAGAAAATTCGGAGTATAAACGACATAAAAATCATCGAGTGCAGGCGGGAATTTGATTTGCCAGTACAATTCCCGAGTCGAGTGCGTATAGCGAAGAGCAGCGATGCAGTCAAAATAAAGAATGGAGCAACTCCTCAAGTTTTAAATTTTGGAGCGGTTAAGAATTTGAAGGATTCGACGAATACCGAGACATCTGTGTCAGAGAATGTTAAGAAACTGAGAATAAAGTCGCAGGATGGCAAAGATCTTGGGGAGATTCAGGTGAAGTTTTTATCCCATGATTTGAGCACTTCACTTAACTCCAAGATCATTACTTTAACTAAATCGAAACAGGCTCCAAAGCTAAATACGACAAAGCAGCCTGTAAACTTTTTGGCCATACCTATAAAAAAAACAGGTACACTACCAATGGAAACTCAGAAACCGATTGCACCTAATAAAATATTTCTTACTTTCAACCAGAAGTCTAATGTGGAAGGTACCAATCAGAAATTGATCCATAAGCCATTGATTGTGACTAAACCTTTGAATAACATTAAACAAAACGACTATGTACACAATAAAAAGCAGTTGCTAGTAAGCACGAATAGTCATAACATTGTGCATAATATCCAATCAACAAACAGTGTGATTCAAAAATTTGTAAAAATACAAACATATAAAACCTTGACACCGGTAAATACACAAACGAATGAGACTATATTAATAAAACAAAGTAATCTAAACGGTACAGAAAAGCCTGTATCAAAAGGAAATGCTTCAGAAATTAGTACCGGAACAAATACATCAAATGTTAATAAATCTTCAGAATCTATGCAACATTGGCAGTTAGCAAAATCGAAGTTTCCATTGGTGCAATGTGAGAAGCTACCGATATCGAAGAACAAAATAAACATTAACGAACTTAGTAATTTTTTTTCAAAAATGGATAATAGTAAACTAAATTCCTTTTGTACAGATAAGAAGAAGGTGGGAGAAGAAAAAAGTAGAAATAATAAAAATGCGTATAATATAAAAAGTTCCAACAATGCGGTTTGTAATGTAAGTACTCAGGAAAATCCAATAAATTCTGAAACACAGAAAAAATGCAATGGAATTGTACAAAATATTCATCAAAATAAAATAATTCTAAAACACGACAGTGTCATTACACCTGATGATCAAAATTCAATTATTAAAAAAGATTCTAATAATGCTAAAGAAAAAGATCATACATTGTCACCTCTCATTAGCAAAAACGTACACGATACTCAAAACGTAGTTCACAATGTAAATAATAGTCCAACTTCTTGCTTAATTGGAGAAGTATGTAATGACAATAATGTACAGAGTACAGATTCAAATTCTGAAAACATTAGCATCACATGTAATACTAAAGATGCAGAGAATAATGTATCCAAAGAAGAAAAATATAATATAATTAAGGAAGCATTGACTAGCGTGAAGGACAAAAAACTTCGGTCTAAAGCTTTACAAGCGCTTGCGGACTGTGGAATAGGTATAGCGAAACATGTGCCGATTACTCCACCTGAAAATTTAAAAACAGTTCACGATTCTTTGACTCAAACCGACGTATTTGGACTCTTCGATATAGATAGTTTCGTATTAGTGAAAAAAGAAACGCCTACTTTGGAAAGAATAAAACAAATTGAGCACTCAACTATCAATACTGCAAATAAATTGAGTGTACAGGTAGAGCCAAACATTAGATACACTAATTATATCGACACCGATTATTTCCTCCCAAGTCTGAGTACAGTACCTTCTTTGGAAGATATTAACGATATAGACAACTTCATAGATCAGTATTCAAATGAAAATGCAAATACCAAGAAGGTGAAACAAATATTGTCGACACCTCATTCATTGTACAAAAAAGTTGAGAGTCAATTACGAAGAGACTTTGAAGCCATGCTACAATGGGATGATAATGGTATGCTGAATATACATAGGGCAGTTATTGATAACAATGTACGCGAAGTACAAAGACTATTGCTAGTATTAAAGGCATCTAAAATAACTGTCGACGCGTTAACGGCTGATCGTATGGTAAATTTATACTTTCATTAATATATAGTAATTATTTTACTTAATAACATGAAATTTCTGCCAATATAGTAGATAAAGTAATAACTTTTTATGGTTGTAAAAGTAATACCTTTTTTTCATCAACATTTTCTTGTACAGTTTATTACATGTTTGTTTTAGTTATATTAAATTTCGAATAATTGTCCTAAGGATCGAGATTCTTTATTGTATCAACTGAAATTATATATTTTCGAGTTACATATACTATAAATATAATATAAATATAAAAAAAAAGGAATAGAATTATGAAAAAGGATCTAATTTGTTTCCAGTCATCTTTGGAGTTAGCAATCAAATCGAATGCGTCTAGAGACATAGTGCAACTGTTATTAGAAGCTGGAGCACAACCAGTGTCATCGGAACTTATACATGATTCTGCAGTAATTTTAGCTAGTAAATTGTCCTCTCCGTTATTGCAAGATCTTCTGAAATATGTTACAGACTGTAGTCTACTTAATCGAGTGGATTCTGCAGGTAAGTATTCAAAATTGTGATAAAAATTCTTTGAAATCTATAGACACATAGGTAAATGTTCAAATTTATATTTAGGATTTGCTCCGCTACACTACTGTGCGTTATATGGCAACTTGAAAGGAGTTAACGCTTTGGTAGAAGCTGGAGCTGATGTAAATTTGAAGGATAATCGTTCAGGAAGAACTCCATTTTTCCATGCTTTTGAACATAATAGCATATCAATTGCGAAGAAACTGTTGGAATATGGCGCCATTGCAAACATACAGAACTATGCAGGACAATCTGTTTTAAATTTTGCGGATGAAGCCAAGTGTCTTTCTTTGAAAGCTGCATTGAAAAAAGTGATAATTTAAGTTTGTTTGTAAGGTAATAGTTACATTAATGTTATTACTGTAGGTAAGAACAGATTATTTACACTAAAAAACATCACAACAACTAGTCTCGTATACTAAATCCGTAGCATCAAGAAATCGCCTCTTTCTATATATCTAAGAAAAATCGAGGATTGAAAATTAGGAAAACATTTGTTATGATTGGCATTTGAAATACGTAAGAATTAATGCCAATTACCATAACAAATTTTTTTTGTACATACTAACCAATAATGATACTGTACATATAATCAAATAGAAATATTTTTACTTAGATAAAAGAAATTTATCGCTTCGTAACGAAGACGATTCATTCCCGTTGTCTTTGGAGTACCCTACATATAATTTATTGTCAACATAAATGACTGGAGTGAATCATTTTTTTCATAATATTTTGTTTGACTTTACGATTACGTTTTGACGTTTTTACTCAGGATCGTGACAAAACAAAAGAGGCATCACGTGTACTTGAAAGCCAATTTACGATTTAAAGTAAAAAAAATGTATACGAACTACTTAAACATATTACGATTAGAATGGTCACAATGAAACTATTTATAGCTACATTTTTATCTCAATAATTGATATTGAAAAATTAGTTAGTTTCTCGTAACTTAAAACTTGAATTTTAATAAACAAGTAAAATAGATCTTACACTAAATTTGTTTATTGAAACAAGCTACACGAATAATTTATTTGTTTTTAACAAGGACGATGGTCTGTTTTTGAAATATCTACTTATATCGTTGTTAAAAAATGTCATTAATCAAATTACTACTAATTCAAACTTTGAGTTTCACAAATTTCCGTCCTTCTATTTTTGTTTTATTATGTTTACACATGCAGATATCGCGAAAATGGCTTCATCTGCTTCATTTTTAAAAAAATTCAAGAACAAAAACTTTAATTTTATAATAATACGAAACATTCGTATTTATGTATTCTATTACATATTAGAATGTCATATTCCACTATTACTCCAAAGTACTTAATCACGGTCCTATTTTGGAGATATTATTTACGATTGCGAAAGTTTCATTGACATTTAGTTTGTATTATTGTAACCCTAATTTTGTAACAATTCAATTTAATGAAATTGACCTCACTTTACGAGGAGTGTGATAATTGTAACATAAAGTGGAATTGTAAAATTACCGAGAAAATTGTGGCGACTTTTTCAATTTTTCGTTACATACTCGACATTTAATCAAGTGAATAGAATAACTCGACACTTGTAAAAATTGTACGCAATTGAAAATTTATTATTGTCTACGTTGTATTAAGAAATACGGCCCACCAATGTTGGTCTCGAATTGTGAAATCCAATAAAAATTGTAAATTGCATACGTAATTCACGTGCACGATTAAGTGACAACTATTTAATATGTTAACTTTATTGTACTGTTAATTTCGCTCTTGTTATATATAGCGATACATACATTTAAATAAATATATTGCATAATAATGTTCTAAGTATCTTAAACTTCTTCCCTAGAATAAAGCAATTCAAATCGAAAATTCATTTCTTATTAAAAGAAGCTTTATTTTAAGATTAATGTCCGTAGAATAAAATAAAATGTAAGAATTTAAATTAAAACAAAATATTAGAATTCAACTGTAGATTAAATTCATGTTCTCAAAAACAAAATTATTAATCGTAGTAAAGATGAATAGAGATTGTCAATGTACATTAGTAACATTAGCAACGACAGTCTTTTCACGCATGTGTGTTAAAATTGTTTTTTTCAAGATGCAAAATTCAGGTGTTTTTCAGGTCTTAATTCTGAATGCGCATGCGCGCATGTGTTTTCTAAGAAGTATCTGGGAGTATCGTGTAAGTAACTACCAATAGCTATGATCAGATATAATACCTTAGAAAAAATCACAAAGTAATTTAATAAACGTGAAACTCTTGTCAGAACACTTACTGTTTATTTTGTATTCCCTATTTTTAGATTAGAATCGATGTTGAGGAAATTATAAAAGATTAAGGTTATTTAACAAATCTAACAAGATATTTCAAATAATTTCTATGAAATTGAAATATGGTGTAATCGCCATGAATTTAAAGAAGAATTTAGGCCATCAATTTGTTATTTTTTACAAAGATGTTATAATTGAAGTCACTATTGATGTATGTTATAACTTTGATTTCTACAATTATTAGTCGCACAATAGCTTTCTTTTTAAAATTTAATTAGAAAGATAAATGTTTTACTACCAGTTTTTGTTATGGTTTGGAAATTATTTGTATGTTATAACAAACTACTTGGAAAAAATTGCTTCGTGAATTATTATGATTCAATTCCCGCGCTTTACATTGGATCGCTAGTATCGTTCTTTCTTCTTTTTCCTACTAGCCAATAAAAAATAATGCGGATACTCATTTTTAAATTTGCTTAAAACTGGCCCTAAGAATCAATTCAATCAAAAATCCCCCCAGAAACATTGATTTTCTCGAAAATGATTGAAAAATTGAATATCCGTAAATGGCGTAAATTATTGTGTAAATGTAGTTCTAGATTTAGCCACTGCGCTAGTGTAAATTGTACTTATCTAGCGATCAAAAAGTATATTTTAAAATTTAACTCAATTATTTAGCGTATAAATGCTTTGAGCTAATTTGAATTGAGAACTTCAATTGAACGTAACGAATTTTTCGTTTGCAAATGGTAAATACATCTTGCGCATTAAGAGGTGATAAACATTCTTTGTTCAGTGGTTGGTGCATCTATGCATACTGAAGTTTCTGATTATGCTCCAATTACAAAATGTCCGTGAATTTATGAGATGAGCGTTCGTATTTTTGTAAAGGTTAAAGTTGGTTAATTGATTATTGGGGCTACCGACAATTTGACAATTACGCCGAATTCTCATGGATCTGGGAGGCAGACGGAAAAGTTCAGACAAAAGGTTGGTATTTTCGACATATTCGTTAAAGTCGTTGATACATATTACTTATTTTCGTTTCAGTCAGCAAAATATTGTTTGTAATATCTTTTTCCCACAAACAAGCTTCATATAATTTGTAGACAAATTTTAAACAGTTATGGATAATACGTATTCTTTTTAATTAATTCTATGATTTACTTTTTGTTTATCTTCCAGTTTTGACACAGATGATGATTCTGATTATGCTATGATAAAACGCATTAAAATGGAACCCGAAGGAATGCTGTCACAAGAAGATGACATAATGGCTCAGCTGCAACAAGAGAGTTCCGATCTAGAAGTAGAGCCAAGTTTTGCATTGGAAGGTACCACGAATGGAGAGGATTGCAACGAGGGTGTTCTAATGCAACATATGGATATACGAGAGCCTCTGTCTACCTTAAGAAATTTATTAGAGCAAAGACTTGGAGTTGAATTAACAGATTATTCCTTTTGGCTACAAGATGCACAGATGGTAAACCAATGTGACTGTATATGAATAGGGATGGGCAAAATATATTTCATAAATGATCACAAAATAGGGTTATATATTAGATTGGCCAAAATGTTTGTTTGTTATAAAGTCATTTGAATGTGTTCATCCCTGATAACGAGTAACAATATTCTTCTATTTATGAACATTTTCTCAGTTAGAAAGTCACAAAAATTTGGTCGACCAGTGTGTACAAGGAGAGGGCCTGGTTCAAGTGAATGTTCAAATAAAAGCAACACAAAGACGTATTAATATAGTGGATGTTCTAAAACCTGCAGAAGATTACATAGAAGTGGCAGAAAACAGTAATACATGCTTATATATATATTTCATTATCTCATGTCTTTTGAACTTTTTTTAAATATGTACTTTTTCTTCTTTAGCATCTACGCAAACTAATGAAGACAATAAACGAAATGTTATAAGGTGGATGGTTGATCCACAGTATAAAAAGGAACAGGTACAATTTTTGAACAGCACATTCAATATTAATATGTATGTGTGAGATGCTCATGTACATGCATTTTGCCAGGAAAGGTTAAAAATTCCAGCTGATCCTAAGGAATGGACACAGACCCATGTAAAACATTGGCTTCAATGGGCTGTTAGACAATTCAACTTGGCGTCTGTAAGATTAGCCGACTGGAACATCACCGGTCAACAATTGTGTAATCTTACCCTTGAAGAATTTCAGGCTAAAGTGCCTCTTGATCCAGGAGAGGTGTTTTGGACTCATTTAGAATTACTTCGAAAATGTAAATTCGTTGGTATGTACTTGTTTGTTACAGAAATGATGCTGAACGTTTTTCTTTTTTAAATTTTTTAAATTTCTTTAAGTTCAAGATTTTCAATTTTACTTCTTGCGGGGTAAAACTATTGGTAGAAATGTCAATATTGAAAAGTAACTCTTTGCAGTCCAAATTGTCCGATTTCAGTACATTTTACAGGTTACAGCTTCATATATTTTAGTATAACCAATTAATTAATGTCATACGGGATTTCATTTTGTCTTTTCAGCCGTTGTACAAAAAGATCCTCCAGCATCACCTACTGAGAACAACGTAGACAAGACCAACAAAGTTCGAAATCAAAAAGCTACGAAAACAAGACCAGTAGTGAATCAACAAGCACGAGTAGTCAGCGTTCCTCTCGAAAACATTGACACCACACCGATCACGATAGCGACTTCCAGCCGTACGGTTAACAGCGGTCAAATACAATTGTGGCAATTTTTGTTAGACTTGTTAACCGACCGTGAGCACAGAGGTGCTATTCAGTGGGTGGGAGCAGAGGGAGAATTCAAATTGAACCAACCGGAGGCGGTTGCGCAACTTTGGGGAGCCCGTAAAAACAAACCGTCGATGAATTACGAAAAATTGAGTCGCGCGTTGCGTTATTATTACGACGGAGATATGATCTCCAAGGTACATGGAAAACGATTTGTTTATAAATTCGTATGTGATCTTAAACAGGTTCTGGGTTATTCGGCCGCTGAATTGAGTCGACTGGTGGAAGAGGGTAGAACGTACTTTTGATGTAATGCCATTCTTTTATCGTTATAACGATCTTTGTCATACTTCCGAAGTATTTTTCATTACCATTTATCGGATACATAACAGAGAAACAGAGTATCTATTATTGTTGAGACAATCTAATGTACATCGAAATACAGAAACTAATACAAAAAATGTCTAGTTAAAAAAACATTATGTAAATACATTGTCGTTTTAAAGGTAGCATTGTACACCCCAGAACGGTATACGCGGGCTCTAATTGGTCGGGGTTTTTTGTTACTATCTGCTTAACGAAACCTCGGACATTTTCGTTAAGGAAAGTGTTGTTTCAAATCACCTCCCGAACCATCCTTTTTCAAGGTGTTGCAACATTTTTGGGACACCTTTATAGTCAAAGGGTGTGCCCAAAGTTTCAACTGTGTTTGCTTTATTACCCTGTATATTTATGTTCAATAATCCATCTACATATTATTATGTCTATGGTGAGTTTCTAACCTAAACGTATCCTTAAAGCCTTAACTGTCCAATTGGCCGCTGTACTTTAAATGTTGATTAAATCGAAGCGATGATCTTGAACAGGAATTTATTTTCCATTAAACGATTACTACAAAATGTCAGGTGGGTAACAGAAGTGTTGCTTAAAGAATTTCATTTTTCCAATTGTTGCTCTTACGTCGTTTCGAAATAAACAAACGAGGAACGCTGGTGAATTTAATTGTTAGATGTGAAAATTACCGCACGCTTCGCAATAAATTAACAAAGCGAAGTTCACTTTATGGATAAGTAAAATTATTTAAAGGCATTTCCATTGCTCGTACGCGAGGAATAAAGCAGCATACGAGGGTTCTGGCAAAACAACGGTCAACATCATGAACCTCGATGATCGTGAAAATATTTTGATAGACAAATGTACACCGGTACACGATGATTTTCTACTAAGTTTGTATAAATACTATTACGAAAATATTTGTTATCTACTGTGATGGTTTTTTTTAGATAGGATTCTTCTTTAACAATAAAACAGCAATGATGGGCCCACTTGTGATTTTTCCAAAAACTATTCTGTGTTGGAATGTTTCATCTGGAAATGATATAAACAAGGAGAGCTTGTCTTTATTTACTGCTTTAGAACCAAAGCCAGATATAGTAGTCATAGGGCTTGAAACTCAATACGAGTACAGTAAAATTGTTAAAATGAAAGAAGTGTTACACGACAAGCAAATCAATGTTGAAGTACTTCCTACAGATATTGCATGTGGTATCTATAATTTTTTATGTAATGAAGGCAGATACGTTGGGGCAGCTCTGATACCTCCATTGAGATCAGAAAATCCAATACTCAAAAGATTGAAATCTAATATGAGTACCATCCAAAAACAGAAACTAATAGAATCTTAATAATTGAATGTAAATATTGTACTGATAAGAGTATGAAAAATAAAAATTTATGTGTAAGGTTATATTAATATTGTTAAAATTTGTATAATAAAAATATAGTGATAGGTTGAATATAAAGTGAAATATAATTTTAAAAAATAAGACAACTGCTTAATTGCATGCATAGAGTTGAAATTTACAGCACAGACAACAAAAGGATTAATGCTATACCAACTTAAAATTAAAAGAATGTGTTGTTTGATTATTTTTTATCTTTTTGTCATTTTATTGATTTCATTTTTAATAATAGTATTGGTTATTAAAAAAAGCTAGACACATGAATACGTATTCTTAAATATGTATAAATAACATAAAAGTAACCTTTATAGTTATAAATTTTATAAACTTTAAATGTGAGATCAATGAGCGACCACTTTGCATGCTGCGTAAGTGTAAATGTGTTTAAAAAATTTCATACATATGTGTGCCGAATGGCGGAATACGCAAGCGCACTATGCACATATAGCACATGGTGCTGGGCAGTGTTAAGTTAACATAACTAAACATAACCTGGATACAATAAACCTGACGGTGTCTGACGATAAATTAACCATTCATAAATGTGATAAGTTTTCTGGAAATAGATAATCTTTTTAAAGAAACTGCTAAGGTAAGTTACGAGTAAACTAAAAATATTGCGATTAAATTCGTTGAAATATAAAAATTCAATATAACGTCATATACAACGATAACTATTTTTGATAATATTATATTTGTACTCTCATGTTTAATAAATTTTATAATCTTATGGCATACGGAAATGTTTGTATTGATTGTAGTTTACATTTTCATAGATGACGTTGAAAAATTTTCCAAGAGGTGGAAAGAAACTTAAAGAGAAGAAGACTTCAGATACGGTAAACATATTGTTCTGTTTTCATTTTAAAATTAATCTTTGATTAAGTTCAAATAGAAAAGTAGTTTCTATTTTAACTTCTAGTTGAACTAGATACTTAGAGCGCAAAACCATTGAGTCATTGATTTTGTTGAAACTTTGTATATTAGACTTTTATTAACAGTATATCAGAGCTTAATTTTGGAATAGGCCTCGTATGTTAACCCTTTCCACTCCAGGCTTTTTTGTCTGGTATCTACCAGCAAGTTGAAATGCTTTCTTAGCTAATTTGTAAATTATTTGTAAATTATTTTAGCTATTTCAAAAGTATGAAAAAGTTAAAAAAAAGAATCGTGAGAAGGAGAAGACAACAAAGAAGAACGAAGAAGAAGAGAACTTTGTTGCTAACACTGCAGAACGATTGACGTATGCAACGATATCCGAGGGTTTGGTAGTACTGGGATGTATTTTTGAAGTAACGGAATACGATTTGATAGTATCATTGCCAGGTGGTATAGTAGGTCGCGTTCAAGTTACGGATATTAGCGACTCGTACACAAATTTGTTACAAAGCATAATCAAATCTGAAAATGATCAGCCAAATGAATTTAAACCATTACCTGAACTGTATTCTCGCGGGGATTATGTTGTATGTTACGTAAAGACTATACAACATCAAGAACAGTGGCAAATTGTATTATCCCTTGATCCTCGACTAATAAATCAAAATGTGAATATCAATTGTTTGGAAAGTGGCTCAAAAATAATATGTACTGTTAGTAGTATAGAGGATCATGGATACATTGTAGATTTAGGGTTAACAAATGTAAGAGCATTCATACCGACCAAAGATATCAATAATAAAAAATGCTTAGGTGAGCAAAGTTTAAAATGTGTTTGTACTTTGGAAAACTAGTAATTAGTTTTGGCAGTATTTAATTTGCAAATATTATTTAGGTCTAGGTAAGCAGCTTCTATGTCACGTAAAGGAAATCAAAAGAAGCGAAAACACATCAATCATGAAATTGTCTACAAAATCAGGGTTAGTTACAGCTGTGAATGACATTGAAATCAAGTCATTGGATAATTTGATGCCAGGAATTAAATTTGATCTGTGTATAAAGAAGGTCCTCATGAATGGTTTATATGTTTCATTTGGTGAAAATAATATAGGCTACGTAAATCAAGTTTACTTAAACGATCCTTTGTCTAAATATTCAAAGGGAATGGAAGTTACTGGGACGTTACTGTATATTTTACCAACTGTGAAATTTGGATATTTCAGTTTAACAATAGGTAAACCTAAGGATAATACTGTTAAACCAGGAGATATTATAGAAGAAGCTACTGCCTTGTTTAGAGAATCTGGCGGAGTTGTGTTGCAGTTAAATAAGAGTGGAACACGGGGATTTCTTCCTTTGAAAAGAACAAACGTTGATTTTGATAGAATTATTAAGAAGTTCGAACCTGGTACCAAACATAAATGTAGAGTGTTATCTTATTGTTGGATGGATGCTACCTACGTCTGTACAATGGAAAAATCATTAATGGAACAGAGATATTTCTCGCTTTCTGACTTCAGACCAGGTGACATAGCGAATGTAAAAATTACAAATATCAACGTAGAAAACGGTTTTATCAATGTACAGGCTGGAAAGATTAAGGGACATGTTACATCGGAGCACGTATCTGACGTGGGTATAAGTGCCCTAAAGAAATTGAAAGTTGATAAGGAAGTCGAAGCAAAAGTTTTAGCTGTCAATAATGCACAAAATAAAGTGTATTTCACTTTGAAGAAGTCATTAATCAAGAGTGATTTACCCGTTCTTAGCGATATACGACAAGCGAAATGTGGATCAACGCATCATGGTACCATCATTCAATTAAAACAGAATGGGTTGTTACTAAAGTTTTTTGGTGATGTCAAAGGCTGGCTTCCGCGTACCGCGTCAGCTGTAAATTGGAATTATTCCATTGGACAAACAGTTTTGGTAAAGATTGAATCGGTGGATCAAAAATCGAGGAAGATGATGCTAAGTATACCTACTAAAGAAACGGAGGCAAAAGAAAACGCATTTGTTATTGGAGAACGCGTAGAAGGAACAATTACAGAATCATCTACTCAAGGTGTGCACTTGAGAATCAGTAAAGATGATGGACAGATTGTTAGTACTGGGTTTTTACCAGCAGGTCATATGTCACCTTGTATGGAAACTGCTGTTTTATTAGCATCGAAATGTATTCCTGGCGATACTCTAACTGCTCTGGTGTTTGCTACGATACCAAGCTTAATTCTGACTAGAACATTTTTGCCTGAAGAAAAATATAGGAATTTCGAACAACTAAAAATAGGCAATTGTATACCTTGTTCAATTAGAGACATCGAACCAACTGGCGTGAGAGTTATTTTACCAATTGCAGGCTGCGCTCCATTCGGATATGTCTCTTACAGTAATGTCAGTCATTTTAATTTATTGTACAGACATCAAATTTTATTTGCAAAAATTATCTCTATTAACAAAAAAGAGAAGCAATTAGGTTTAACACTCGCGCTAAAGAAAATTTACGATGGACTACCCGATTCTAACAGTAGAATGATGGCAGCAGTGGATACTTTGAGCTTGCACTTCAATAAATTAGCAGAACTATCGAAAAACTCGTTTTACGAGAATAAGCCAATTTCTTCGGTTACGTTAGGACAAAGACTTACTGGAAAAGTCGAAAAAATTACATCGGACGGACTTGTGATTCAATTAAAAAATAATTTGTTAGGTATAGTAAACAAGAATCATTACTCGGGAAGTTTTACTGTTGGAGATACAGTTTCTGGAACAATCATGTGGAAGAATTATGTCCACGAACTCGTTGAAATGACCATGTTACCTACGATAATGAAAAGTATAAGCGGGAAGCAGAACAAGCAATTGCAGCTTCCAGCGGGAAAAGTAATACGAGGTACAATTTTAATGGTGACAAACTGGTTTATTTTAATTGTCTTGAAAGGCCATGGTAAAGGCTCTTTGGCAGCAATGCCAGCTCGACGTCACATGAACGATATACAGCCAGATTTATCACCCTTTATCGTTCATTCAAAAATTAGATGTTACATTATATTGAATGCCAACGAATCGGATATTATGCCTATCTGTATGGTGAAATCTGCGTTTGAATCAAAGTATGACACGGTAACAAAACCAAGTAAGAACATTTTGAAGAGAAAGGGGACACTTGAGAAAAATGATCAGATGCTCGCTAAAAAGGTAAAGACAGAGGAGGTTGAGACAGAAAACGCAGTTATTGACTGCGATGAAATTTCGAACGAAATAAAAGTGAAACAGAAAAAGGGAACAAAAATGACGAAGATTAAAGAGGAGGATGTGGAATTAATTGAAAATAATGTGGAGAATCTAAACGATAATGCAAATGAGGAAAAGCCAAGAATACCGGAGTGTGGATTCTTTTGGGATGACAAGCCTAATTTAGATCTCCTTAAGAATAAAGACTCGTCTAGCGACAGCGAAGATGAAACAGAACAACCAAAGCAGAAGAAGAAAAAATTGAGCGCGGCTGAACGTCGGGAACAAGAGAGACAAAAGGAACGTGAAATTCGTCAAAGAGAAGAGGCCTTAGCCAGTAATCAATTGCCAAATTCTGTTGATCAATTCGATAGATTAGTTTTGGCAAGTCCGGATAGTTCGATAATTTGGTTACAGTACATGGCGTACCATCTGCAAACGACAGAAATTGAGAAGGCAAGGGCAGTCGCAAGAAGAGCCACTAAAACGATTAATTTTAGAGAAGAGAATGAGAGATTAAACGTGTGGAATGCCTGGTTAAATTTTGAATCGAAGTTCGGAACACCAGAATCTTTAAATGATGTTTTCCAAGAGGCTGTGAGAACCAATGATTCGTTGAAGATATATACTCACATGTTAACTGTACATATCGAGGCTGGTAGACAGATCGAATTAGAAAAGATAATCAGCACCATGCTGGGAAAATTCAAGCAGAATCCTCAAGTGTGGATCGAGTGCGGCACAGGATTATTAAAAATGGGTTTGAAAGATAAATCTAGACACACCATGCAAAGAGCTTTACAATCTTTACCAGCATCCGAGCGTACGTATACGTTAATGATAAATGCGTTAAGGTAAAATAAATATATAATAATAATACTAACATAAATTGTTGCACGCAGATGTTAACTTGATGGCAAAGTTCGCAATTTTGGAAAACAAGTTTGGAGACAAAGAAAGAGCGCAGACCTTATTCGAAGAAATTCTGTGTTCCTATCCTAAGCGTGTGGATATATGGTCATGTTACGTAGATTCTTTAATCAAATCTAATGATATTGATATCGCAAGGTAATCATTTTTCAACAAGTGTTTGTTGTATTGTTATTTTTATTGAAAGTTTCCTGAAGGGGGTTTTCTAGTCTACAGTACCCCCTTAATAAGAACTTTCTTATTTCATTATATAATATATCATTTTGCTATTTTTGAGAGCTTACAGGCCTGTTTGAGAAAAGCTGTAATAGAGTATTTATAGTATTTACATAAGGCTGTACTGTATTTACAGAAAAGTACTGGAGCGAGCAGTTGTTCAGACACTACCACCAAGAAAGATGAAGAGCATATTTAAAAAGTTCATTAGCTTTGAAGAACAACATGGTACCAGCGAAAATGTTGCTCGTGTTCAACAGATGGCTGTTGAATATGTAGAAAAACAATGTAACAAGGAATCTGGCGAAGCTAATGCGAATTAGAATTAAATGTTTTTTTATACATATTCTTGTAAACGGCTCAACAGTTTTTATGGATAGATGAGAGAATCTATGAAATATTATAAATTATAGCAAATTTCAGTTACAAGATTAACATTGAAACAGAATTAAACATACAGAAATAAAGCATCTACCCATAACGAAATATTTTCTTTGTGCATTTTGAAAAAAAAAGCTTTGTATACCCTCCGATCGGAGGTTTCATAAAACTGGGATAGTCAATTTAAATCGAAATAAGGTCCTATGATTTATATTTAATGAAAGAACAATCGAGTGAAGTTTTATTAAAATCCTACATCCACGGAACAACTACCGCAATTGTAAAACAGTCAGTGTTGGCTATCAGGTAGTTGAAATAACGCGCGTTACTGTAACGTGGCAGCACTGGTCTGTCCGTTGTTCCACCATAGTTGCACACTTCCACGCCACCCTAAGTAATCGAGATTCGAGAAATGTTCGTCTGGTCTTGTCTGCGCTAGCGCAGAATACAGCAGAATACGGTAGTCGGCGAAGCGATGACTGTCAACGCGGAAATCGGCAACCTTGTAATCGCCATATTGTTTGCACGCACGTTGCGTTAGCAAAGTCGTCAAAGTGGTGATAATCTCGTGGTGTTACAAGTGTTCGCGGCGCGGTGTTGTCCACCGGAGAAAAAAAGGAAGTGTGTCTGCCTGAAAATAGGTAAATAACTCGAGGCCACCGTCATCCAGTTTTTCTGGGGGAAAGGATAGATCGTACGGCTCGTTGCCACCGGATCATTATTTCGGCTCTAACGCGTGTAACGTGATCGACGTAAACGTGCAGTAAATCGATCGTATCCCTCGAGGTTCTCGTAGCGCATCGTTCGAGTCTCGACGAGACTCGACTGTCTCTTTACCTCAGGGCATGTCGGAAGTCCTGAATATTCGCCACGGTGACGTCACCAGAGATGGACAAAATTTCTTTCGAATAATGGATTACGAATAAAAACACTATACATGAATCGATTCGTTCCCGTTTACTCTATCGACCGAACCTTCGTGAAATGTCGTTTCGTGCTCTTAAAATTGTAATTTTTCATCGAACAAATAACGAATGGTAAGTTGTTTGTCTTTGATTCGTTCGAATATTTGTATCCGCGTAAGAATTTCGCCTATCTCTGGACGTCACCGATAGTTTCGACGGATGGTTCGCGTGTCCTACCTCCCTTATTCCGTCCCGTAACGAACCACCGTAAATTTCTCGCGTAGACGACCATACACGACGTGTTCCGTGTATACGGTACGATCAGCGAGCTGCGAACCAGTTCCTAACACCGACGTTTCGTGAAATCGTAGTCGTCGTGGTAGCAGACTCCCCTCTCCCCGACCCTCCCTCCCCCTGCGACAATCTATCAAGCGAAACCAAGTTACTTCCTCTTTCAGAAGCATCGCGCTGTTGTGAGTATTTTCTCTTCATATTCATTTCCTCGTGAATGACGCTCGCTTCGTAAGCGAATCGCGACACTCGACGATGGCTTTCCTACGAGTTTTAAGTTTGGAACGCGAGAAATGCCAAAGGCCGTCCGAATCAAAGGCGTTCTTCCCGTCTCTTTCGCTTCTTCCACTGTTCGCCTGCGCCTGTCTCCTTCTTTCTGGCCTCGTGAGCACGGGGTTAGGTTACGAATCGGAACAGCACGGTAAAAATATTCCAAGTATCGAGAAACGCTTTTCTGCGCGTTGAGTGTCCCGTGTATTCGGAAATAGGCAAAATTTGATTCGAATAATTGGCGACGAACAAGGTGTAACGCGGTGTTCTGGTTTATATTGGTTTATTCGAGTGAACGGTGTTATACAGTCTTTTTATTCGTTCGATGTGTTGAACGTAACTTACGGAAAGTGTTTCTGGTTTCTCCAAAAATTTGTAGTTACGCTCTAGTATGGGAACCGTATTGAAAATATTTAATTTCCTATGAATATTACAAAGAAAAATTCCCAAATCCTAACGCGAAAGAATTCGTTTCGCGACAAATTTTAGAATATTGTTATTTTTGAATAAAGTATCAACACTTTAACGCCCGCTCACACATGTGCGTGATGTTACCGTTATTGGATAAAAATGCGACCGTTACAGTGTTAACATAGGACTTGATACGTCCATAAATGTAGAATATCATTACAGAAAATATTTCATTGCTCGTGAATATCATTCCTAACCTCCGCCAAAAATATTTCACGAGCTTATTCTTAAAACTCCGCACCAAAGATTTCATTTCACGCGAATCTCATCTTCGAAGAAGGCGCTGAAATCAGAAACGACGATTAGGAGTATATGTTCTATTAACGAATGTTTATCGTGATTACAATTTTTGGGCCAAATTTGAAAATCACGAGTCGGTCTCGTTGTCAAATTTAGTGCGATTCAGCGTAGTGCAGTATCGCCATAAAAATAATTTGTTCCATGATTGTGGGGTAGGTATTTATTTGAATAAAACTTTGCGAGTAGGTAGTTGACCGAAAAATAGAAATTAAAATTGCTTTCGATAGATGGCGAATACACGCTCGAAAGTTCTCGAAATTTCGAGCCTTTATGGTCCTGCGTCTGAAAATTTACCGAAATCAGAAAATCTGGGCTGCAAAAGGTTAACGATGAAAACCGTGTTTCGCAAATTTTTCAATACGCATCGTACGTTTCTTTCAGAAACTAACCTAGCGATTATGGCTGCTTTGCTTTCTAAATCTCACGGTTCGAGTTTCTCGGGACTCTGTACACTTGTTCTTCTATCTTTCGTTGCGCTCTTCGATTTAGGGAAGCTCGAGATATATTGCAAAATATGAAAATCACGGTGTGTGATTCAAATTTTTTCTGATAGCAAAATGAGTTTAGTCCTTGTTTCAATGATTTTTGAAATCTATGTTACGCGCGCCCTAAAATACCTTGCAAATACATAAGAAAATATCAATTGCGAATCTTCGAGAAGTTGAAATGGAAAATACATAGATTGTTTCCAATCTGTTATTCTTTTATAACTCCGTGAAAAATTGATGAAATAATTTGAAATTTGATAGTTATTACTTAGAATATTAGGAACAAGCCCTACAAATTTCAAACTTTTATCTTAATTATTTCCTTGTGTATCAGTCCAGTGAACATGAAGCTATTTTTTCTAATTGAAATATTTTTGTAATATTATTTTATATGTTTTAAATATGAACTCGTTTAATATTTTTTATAGATGTTAAAGGAGTATGGTTATTGTGCACATGTCCAACGTGTGAGTTTTATTCAAAGAAAGCAGAAATTAAACCAGAAATGTTAAATTATAAACACATATATATATATATATATCAAACTTGCCCTAAGGCTGAAACGAGTTTTAATAACATCTTGGACGTATCGAAACACTGTTATTAAGGTCGAAACTCCAGATAATTATTACTGTTTTATTGCTATGAAATTTATACATTATACATTACATACATTATATTAATGTTTTATTGCTGTGAAGTTTATATACTTCTGTGTATAATAGAGTTACTAAGAAGGAGAAATGTCAATTCTTCGATCGCTATTAAAAAATTCATCGTCCAAATAATTTGTACAGTGATAAAATAAAATTTGCTTGTTTCGTTGAGAGTCATACGATTAAGACAATTAAAAATTTAACTTCGTTAGACATTGAACGCCCTGTCTTTTTCAGTAACAATTTGCGAACCTAAATAATTGTTAGGAAGAGAAAAATAAGTTGCAGTCTGTTTATTAGGTTGTCCCAAAAGTTTCTTTCGCTTTTCGCAAAAAATAGTTTGTGTTTTATGTTACATTACTGAATTGTGCACGATTCATTTTGCTCCATTCCTGTTACAACATGAATATATATGAAATTACATTGTCTATTTATATAAACACGACCACATCAAATAATCGAGTGCAACTCGCGAAAGAAACTTTCGGGACAACCTAATACTTAAAAATTGAATCGATGGTTCACGAATTATTACCGAAGAGACTTTATCGTAAGAAACGAATCGTATCGAAACGTTAAATCTGTAATGAAATTGAACATTTTCTTGCGCTGATAATTTCTTTTATCCAATTTCATTTCCACTGTAAGAACTGTACTGTTTATACGTCCCAACAGTAAACACACGGCGCGACTCTCGTTACGCGTCCTTCTCTTGCCCTTTGGGCTTTACTTTATTTTCACAGTTGCTTCTAGCAAGCATGGCCACGCTCGCTATATGTATATCTGTCTCGCGAGACCGGATCGAATTACGGTTTTCGTATGTTGGAGAGGCCACTTCTTTCCAGGAAGGAAAGAAGCATCGTCTTAAAATTAGCCAACAACCAGCGACGTTATCTTACGTAATACGATACAATAGACGCGGGAGAGGTGACTTCCAAAGTGATTCGCCTGCATATACATAAGCGAATTCGAATCGATTTTATTAATCGCGTTACGACGGTAGTAGCACGTGAAAAGGAACTCGTTGAAACTGAAAACCTCGATGGTACCCACCGTGCACGTGTGCTGGTTAAGCTGCGTTCTCACGTGTGCTATGCGTGACCCCGACGCAGGGCAACGCTGAAAGCGCAAAGAAACGTAGTTTACCCGTTTGCTCTCAAACTACTACTCACGGGAACCGAAAACGCTTGGCGTTGTACTCGAACTGTGGCACTTTGGTATATCAACTGTACAAAGTGTCCCAGTTGTGACGAGTACCCTAAATGTCTTCGTTGTTTTAGACGATATCGTAGAAAAATTATTCCACGAAAAATTGTTCGATTTCGAGGAGACAATATTACCATTTGCACGAAAAGTATCTCGATGTTGTATTTTTCGAAATTTCAAGGGCATCAGTGGTTTTTAAACGGAATGGAGTATTTTCGTTATTGTAGTATCGTGGCTGATGAAAAGACAAATTCAAACATGTATAATGGGTTGATCTCCAGATAACCTTGCGTGGAGTTATTCTTATGACATCAATGAGATTTGTGATTAAAATATCTAATGTTTGATTTTCAGTTAAAAAATCTGAAAAATATCCAAAAAATTTGTCATCTGATATAGGAAAAATTCGGCAGAAATCTATTTTTGTTTCTTTGTCTTGCCACATTATTGAATTCGATTTAAGGGTACATTTGACTCTCTTATTTGGCTATATCCTTTCATTGATCATGGTAGTTTTTCTTTTACTTGAAAAATTGAAGTAATTGAAATATCTATACGGCCAGAAGAAAAGGCGAGGATTCGTACACTGATTGTGTTTATCAGATTGTAACAACGACAATGATAGATACTAAATAACGAAGACAGCAGGTGTGATACGATTGTTATTCATTTTAGATCGATCCCGTTGCATAATAATTTTCAATAACGAGAATGGCACGATTGTTACATACATAATTTCGTACGTATTGTACATCGCGCTGAACATGCCGAAGATTGAACTCTTAACAGCGTCCTAGCGTAACTAATTTTATGTAGTACGTTGCACATCATTTTATATATCAAGAAATATCAATTTTTAATTTTTTGAAATATTAAAATTCATTAACAAGAACTACTAATTCTATGAATTTTTATTACTAGACTGCTGATGTTTGTGCGAAATAAAATTTTGCAAACGTACCGACGAAAACTGAACCTAAATAGGAATTTATTTTATTCTGCAAATAGTGTAACATGATGATAATATTATAATATGAATTTTACTTTCAATATTTTTAATACATTCCTTCGTACTGTACGCATTTTGTAGTTTCTTGCGCGTTCAAATTTCTTGCGAATGTATACAAACCCGCGGTCTACTTATTACTTATGTCTCGATACTTATTCGATGATCTGTACACGTGGATTTCGCGAGAGCAGATTATGTGTTTGCGCAACGTGACGTGTTTTCACTTTTACATCTTCGTGACGCTACAACATTTCTCAGCAATTCAAATCAACACCCGCAGATGGTCGATGTTAATGTCGTGCTTCGGTAATTGAAAACGTTCATGCTAATAGCGTGACGCTATGCTGATACCTTTTGTTCTGTCCGATTCTCACCTCTCCCTACCATTGCGAATCGAATAAGTAATGTTGCTTATCGTCGAATCGGTGCTCTTCTTTCGAAGCAGTAGTCGACAAACATTTTCGAAACGTTGGAAGAATTGTTATGTATTTATCTTTATTTGAAATTGTCAACTTGACCGTACGTTTGGTGTATATAATACGTTATTGTACATACGTACATATAATACGTATATATAATACGTTTTTGGCTCGTTTATACATATATTATTTATATGTTTCCACCTCCTGGGAGTGGGAGTGGGAATTATTTCAAAATCTTCAATGAAAAACCTTTTTCTCATGACATATCTTGGTTCTCCATTAATTTGATATTATTGGTGTAATTTCTTTCACAGATGTCGATTTTGAAATAATTCCTTCTCCCACCTCCGGGAGGTGAGAAGTGAAGATCAATTATGGCGTTATTGAACAGCATTTTCAAAAATATCACATACTTCTACTTTTATTTTTCTAATCTGATTCTCAATTGATCCTCAATTTTCAACAATTTTTGGGCCATTTTGATTGATGTCAATTACAGCGCCATCCGTAAACCAAAATACAAAGACTCGTAGGTCAAATTGGGGTACTTTGTTCTGGAGAATCCAAACCTGCATTAACCTCTAAGTTTTTTTATCAGCCCCCATCCCGAAGGGAGTGACTGTTAGGTTCGAGTTTGGTATCATTGAATGTCTTCAGATGAATCGTCCGCCCTGTATATACAGAAATTTAGTACAATGTAAAAAATAGTAAACGATATTATCGTTGCTGCAACGTAACGTTAAGTAAAATCGAATGCTCGCTCGTCCTATTATGCAAAAATTCACTTCTCCAAACAATTTTCTCTCCCAAGTAAGTTACCAAAGAAGTTTCATTGTATCCCAATTATACATATCTATTTAGATACCTTACCCTAGAGGTCACGAGCCTATAGTTTGGAAGACACTAGCGATGTTCGGTTCATATTAGCAAACAGTGTTTCGAATAACAAAAAAAAAAAAATGTTTTATTACGTGTAATGACGAGTACTAGTCGCGCAACGGTTGAAAATGCGATCAAATGGGACGGTTAGCTCTTGGTCTCTCGGTTTGTAACGTGGAATTAGTTACATAATTTCAATTGTGCTCTTTATGTTATTACATAACCGTGTTATCGACTTCGCCTGCGAAACGTAACAGATGACCCGTAATGTCTTGGTGTAATTAGTCGCGAAGTTTCGCCACGCACGCCGCGTAATCTTCGCTGTCTTTATCGCGCAGTAGCAACCAAAGGAACCACGGAGAAACTTTGTCGAGATAATTGCTGCAAGTTAGCGTACGAGAGAGACCACGCATTCCATAAATAGTGCGAAACGTTTTAGCAGTGGTGTTAGGATTGGCAACTTCGAAATTCATCGAATACGATACGTTCGCTGTCGACGGATCGAAGTTCATTTGAAATCGATACTTGGGGTCGATCTGTGTTAACTATTCCATTGTATTCAGAAAAACTGGTGTCGGTTGTTTTCGGGTCATCGGGGTAAAGCTTACGGTGATTGGCCGTTTATAAGCAGGAGCCACGTGGAAATAATAAATGTTCGATTCTTCTTTACTAAATCTGAAAATAAAATCGGTGTTAGCATCTGAAAAAAGGTTTAATCGTTTTAAAATGAAGAAAATTTATTGAAAAGGAATCAAGGATTTAGAAGAAATATGTATATAAAAAAAAAAATTATATAAATTATATATTTTACAAAAGACGAGGCATAGGATAAAATTGTTAAATAAAAATAGACACATTTTATTATCGAACACACGAATTTCCGAAGAAGTAACGTTTGGTCCTTGGTGCATAAAATTTGTAAAAATAGTTTCAATAAAGTGCACTATATGCAGCTAATTGTAAAATCTGTTGATAAACCATGCTCGGTAATTTATATAGTATATCTTACTTGGTGACAAATCAATAACTGAGTCCTTATCGAGTAGTAGCACATTCTGTGAATTACTTTCTATCTTATATAATCTATATCTGGCTTATCACTAATCGGTACGTCTGACTAATTACGAGTAAACTTGTTTTTAATATTTTCCATCGGTTTAGATTATTGATTTTCCAGCGACTCGGAGATAAATCGAATACTTCGTTATTTTCAATGTCATCATTTGCCATAATATTATCTGGGGCACATGCTGTTGTCCATGTTACGCTGTTACGTTATCCGTGAAGTCCAAGACGAATACGTTTTCATATTGGTTTTGCGCGTCTGATTCCGGTGAAATCTGGGATGACTGCCAAACTTGGTGAAAAATTCCGCCAGGGTGCGTCTGCTTTCTTGACGCCGGGTATTTGGCAAGATCGTGGATTTCCCTGTTTAACGTTGCATGCGCAATCGTAGTATTTTTACGTCGTTTATTCCGAAAACAGAATCGATATTATAATACTAATAACCGAGGTGGGTAAAATTCGCATCTCGATACAAATTTTGAAATAACGAGTAAAAGGCAGCTCCTTGGTTTGTTATTGGTGCGAGCGAATAAAAATAACGAATAAGTGATTATTCGAATAGAACAGCACGATTTCGATTACAAATATTAAATATTTCTTTCTTTTCTTTATCTTATCTTACATTATTAAGGAACAGAAATATTTGAAACGAAGTATCTCTATTTTTAGATGATAACCTTTTGTATCTAATATTTTATAATGCTATCGTACCATTTAATACGTTGTTTTTTTTTTGTTTCTTTTTTTTAACATACTCGTAATGTTTAATGTTCTGTTTTTATTCGAAACATGTAGCACCTTTTAATACGTATTCATAAAATTAAAACGAAATTTGTTGGCGGACCTTGGAAAACTTGTTCGAATAATCTAGAATTTTGTTTAATAAATAACAACTATTTTAATGTATCTCTCGAGCATGTTTAAACCGTACCAAAAATATTCTCAATGTTAAACGAAAATTAAATTATTTCTTCTCCGTTGAAATAAATCCCGACCGATATTTCCGGTATTCATAAAATTAAAACGAAATTTTTCGAGGGATCTTGGGAAACTTGTTCGAATAATCTAGAATTTTTTTAAATAAATAACGACTATTTTAATGTATCTCTTAAAATATTCTCAATGTTAAAACAAAAATGAAATTATTTCTTCTCCACCTTTCTTCTTCTTCTTCTCTTAAAATAAATCCCGACCGATATTTGAACTTCTAACGTGGTTACTCCCTTAAACATCGCGCTGGTGAACCATCTCAACGAACCACATTTTTCTCGGTCCAAGGTCAGTCCGTTCCTTTTTTTTAACTCGACCCGGTAACCTTTGGCATTTCTACGTTTTGCATTGCCGCTCGCCACAGAATTCGTCAGTGGACGGAAGTCGGGATAGTAGCTGGAGCGTCGACGGTCCCACGGGAATTCTTTTTAACCGACTTCGAAAAGGAGGAGGTTACTCAATTTGACATGTATATTATTGTCTTTGTCTTTCCGATGCACCGCACAATCGGCACAATAGGGCTGTATATGTTTTTTAATTCGCACGGAGCAATAAACTAATGTGTTTACGTTACAAACTCTACTCTAAATGGTTCGTCGTAAGAATCGTACAAATACTTATTGCTTCTTTACTTTTACCCACTTTTCGCATTTTTTTTTTTGTTAATTTTTTCCAATTATATCAACTAGTAAATGTTTGGACTATATCTACCGTAGAGATCGATTACAAAAGAAGAAGTTAAGAAACTAGAATTTCACGCAAAAGTTTTTTTGGGAAATTGATCGGTGTACGAATACATTCTACACCCACTGTAAATGTTGGAACAATCTGCCTGTTTCATTGTTGCTTAACGTAACGAAATGGAGGAAAAATATTTTTATTTAAACAACCGTTGCGAGTAATTGAATCGCACAGAAGAACAGTGTTAACAACACAAACTTATCGACACGTTTCGGTTCGCATAAATTTCTGTTTTGCTGAATGAAAAACCACGAATCGAGCAATTTAACGAAAAGATGGAAGAGCTTTTGACTTACTTATCTCGAAAGAGTTAGCCCTCTCCGTATTCCCGCAAGTTTGAAAAATTGCCTTTTGGTCGGGTTTTTGGCGGAAGTATCCCCCACTGTGCGCGGATAGCGTGATTCGCTCGAGAAAGCGAATCGATATCCAGTTGATCGCATAACGCAATGCAGTTCCAGTTCCAGCGTGACAGAGATATCCACTTTTTTCCCCAGTTTCGTGGGCGCGCAGTCTGGCTAGTGGAGTCTTCCGTGGCCAGTTGGGTAAGTGGAAAAAGGGGGACAAGGTGAAGTAGTACGCTCGAGTTGCAAGGTCAGCGTGAGGTCAGAACTAAAGCTGCAATGGAACTTTAGCCGATGCCACATTGCTTTCCCTCGTTATTCTCCTAAACCGTTAAGAAAATCGTTTCGTCTAGCGATATATCGATTTAACCGGTTAGTAACCGCGTTACATACACGCTCACCGTATTACGTATGTTTGAATTTGTCTTTCTATCTGCTACGATGCTACAGTAACGAAAATACCCCGTTCGTACATACTCATACATACATACTCAACGATTACCAACGGATTATCCATTTCGGGCGGGTGAAAGAAATCGAACGGCTCGAACGATTTAAGTACATTCAACGAATGAATGTGTGTGAATTCAGTGAATACGAATATGTATTCATTGAATGTACTTAAATCGTTCGAGCTGTTCGATTTCCTTCACACGCCTGAAATGGATAATCCGAGCCGCTTACTTCGGTCCGAGCTACTCGGTTCTTTCGAGCTACTCGTTTCTTCCGAGTACTTGACTCGGACCGGCCATTCGAGCCGAGTAAAACTCGGCTCGCCTTTTCCGAGTCCTCGAACAGCTCTACTCGAGACCGCTGAAAAGTAAAGTCGACGTCCGAGGGTACGATGACCCTCGCGCGTGTATCACTCCTACATTCGTAACGACGCTAACAAACATGAACCGCTTCTGAAACGTCATCTTCCGGATCACGGTCGTGATCGAAGTTCAATCACGACTGCGAATGATCTGTTAGTGATTTTTCACGCCATCCCTATCGTTGACACGGATCGTAGTCCTACTAGAGATAGAAAGCAATGAAAACAAAAAAAAAAAAAAAAAGCAAATAGTCCCGTTGAGCTTGACCCGCTAATCACCACGTACCCCGATATTGTTGGGATTCAGGAGGTCTGTAAAGAAGAAAAACAGGGAAAGAGAGTGAGAGTGAGATCGAGAGACCGGTGACCCAGGGTGCAATGTCATATCACCGTGGGGGCCAGGCGGGCGCCGTAGCAGTGTCGTACAGCACCAGTCCAATGGCGCCACACTCTCCTAGCAGACGATGTTCGAGCGGTAGTAGCGCCACCAGCAGCTCCGCGATCGGCACCTCCTCCTCCAAGCTGAACACCTACCGATCGACTGGCACCTCGTCGATCCTAGATCGGCCAACGAACTTCTACACGTCGTCGGGCAGCTCGGGGTATCGCTCGAGCTATACGTCCGAGTACAGGCGATCCTACTGCCCGTCAGGCAGGTGAGTCTATTTTTCATCGACCCTACGGGATTCTATCGGATTCCAGGGATCGGCAATTACGCTCGGACCGTCGGAAGCGCCTGCGGTAACGGTGTTTGTTTCCTTAGAGCTCTTTCACACGACGATACGCGCATGCAGGATACCGATGGCACACGTAATGTTATGGAAGCGTTCAGACGGCGATTCTCGCGAGATGCAGCATCGCGATACTGATTTTCGGTATCCGCGGTTGGTCGGCCGCCGGCAACTTTTTCTGCGTCGGGGCGACCGACGAAACATTGAGACAGATACGAGCATTCACACACGACGCTGCGCAGTATCGTCGAATTCGTTCACCTTCCTCATAAACAAATTTTAGACGTATAATAATTGAAGAATTTACATGGATCGTTACAAAGTTCTTCGAATAAAATATGAAAAGCTCCCGTTTGTTTCTTCACTTATATTATTAATAGGATGAACCCAATATTTTCTCTTAACTTTTCTCCTTTTAGTAGCTTTTTTATGTAGAAACCAAATGGATAAAGCTTCGATCTCATCCATTATTTCAGAAAAGTTTTCGCAAACTAAGAACGGGTGTTTCTCGAACGAGAAGATACGTTTAACTGAAAAACAAACGATCAACACCGAGCTACGAAATTAGTCGAATACAGTATCGCATAAGTATCTTGCTCGCAGGTACGTATGGCATACGCGTATCGTCGTGTGAAAGAGCTCTTACGCTTCACTTCCACTAGCGCTCGAGGAACGCGACTTGCGCGCAAGGGGATATACAGGGTGTCCCAGCCTTAGTGATGCAGCGCTCTAACTCCAAAACTATCGGCCGAATGGAAAATGTCAAATATGGAAATTCCATGGTAAAGCGAGGCTCATGTTTCAGCGAGAAGGAATTTTTGTTAACTTTGTTATTTAACGAGATATGATGGTCAAGTTTCGTTCTTCCAATGGAACTATTTATTTTATTTTTATACCATGCGATAGTATTCTTCAAGGCGAATTCATTAAGCTTTAATGTATTTACCAGATTTTTATTAGTTTTCAAGCTATTATAAAGCTTCGAAGTTTGCTAATTTTCAAGGAAAAATCTTGGTTTGATCCCGGTGTATCACTAAGGCTGGGACACCCTGTATTGTCTTTACAGGGGGAAAGATATTAAAAAGCTCTTTGCAATATTAAGGCGATCGCCTTGTAAGCAGAAGCAAATCGGACCAGAGATGGGCAAATTTCTTACTCAAAAATAACCAAAGAAAAAAATAATAACGGCTTAACGCATTGCGCGCCGGCTAATCCCGGCTGTCGAACGACTAAACGTCGGTAGTTGTATTGCCTACCTACAGGGATTACAGATTTAACCCTTTGTACCGTAATCGTTTTCTTAATTTGTTCTCAAACATCTTGTGATTTCGTTTTCCTGGTTTTGATATTTAATCTTGCAATTAGGCATACAGAAATTGCTGTTATTTTAATTTGGACATTTAGTCGAATACCATAACGATAAATGATGTACGTACAGCTTTCGAGGGGATACCACATTAGGTGACCTATACAAATTCTCTTAATGTTTTTTTTAACTTTAAAAACATTTTAGGTATGTTTTAATATATTTCGTCGATGCTACATTTAGCAAGTAATAGTTACAATCAAAGAAATTGAAAATACAAAAGTTGTAAAAGGAATTGGAATGATATCATGTATTATAAGATATATGTAAATTAGATATTCCAAGTAAATATTAAGTCTAGCTCACCGAATATCGAGCATTCTTTGTACGCGAATCTCGTATTTTTAGAAGTTACTCTAGACAAATATTTTGGTCGTTGTAAACAAATACCCATCTTTATTTAACGTTTTTGGATCGTAATCTCTGTGTTTGAAATGGTCCAAGCGAAGATGGATCAATAACTCAGAAGCTGCAAGTGGTAACGTTCGTTTTGGGTTGGCATTATGGAAACGAATTAATCGCTCGAGAAATTGCCAATTAGAGTGCGTTGTCACGCTTAATAGAGATACAAGTTAAAGTTAGAGGAGCCGTCGTTAGCGTGCTGCCGATCCCAGGCTTCGCGAAAATGCGCTAGAATGTAAAAATTGTTCATACTCGATCGACCCTACAGTTTCTACTCGTTAACGACGACGGGCACGGGCATCCGCAGGAACTACGTGTCGGAGTACAGCCGATCTCGCTGCTCACCCGCAAGGTGAGCAATCTTTGACGAAAAGGCACAAAGGCACCGAGGAATACCTAGCCTTCCGAGAAACAGGGCAAACTGGTCGCCAGTCTCATCCTTGTACAGTTCTTTCTAGAACCGATTTAACGTAACTATCGAAATGTCGCGTTCCAGATCGTGGATCCAGCAATATCACGTCGATCGCAATGAAAGTAACTACAGTGGGTGTAGAAAGTATTCGTACAATTCTCAAAAAATTCCCAGTATTCGATCAATTTCCAAAAAAAAAACTATGTAAAACTGTAATTTATTAACTTATTTTTTATAAACAATGGCATTCTACATATCCTTGGAAATCTCTGAATAGATAGAGTATAAAAAAAAAATAGCTATTTATGTAAGTTACGAAATTAACAAAAAAAAAAAACAATTAATCTAACATTTAACTAAATTATTAGTTATTCGAAATGGGATCTTCTTCAATTCCTCTATTGGAGGCATTTTTAACCGACTTCGAAAAGGAGGAGGTTACTCAATTCGACATGTATATATATATATTTTTTTTTAAGTAATTTCCTGAAAATTTGATGTTTTCTAATTCGTACGGAGCAATAAACTAATGTGTTTACGTTACAAACTCTACTCTAAATGGTTCGTCATAAGAATCGTCCAAATACTTATTGCTTCTATACTTGTATCAACTTTTCGCATATTTTTGGTAATTTCATAAATTATATTAACTAGTAAATGTTGTTTGGACTACACCTATCTTAGAGACTTCCGAGAACATATAAAATATCATTGATTATACAAAAAGAAGTTAAGAAAGTACAATTTCACGCAAAAGTTTTTTGGGAAACTGATCGGCGTACGAATACATTCTACACCCACTGTAGGTTGTCCGAAAAGTTTCTCTCGTTTTATTAGCACTAACACCTTGTCCTAACCGACAGTCGTGCGGCGACAAAATCGTTCGTAGCCGAGTGAGGCAAGCCGAAGCAAGAGAGTAGAGGCAGACTCGCGTTGCCGATTAGATCTTTGTCGATTAGATTTAATGCAGTCCGTGAATCGGTCGAACAAGGATAAAGCACCTTCTTTCTTTCTTTCTTTCCTTCTATCTTTGTTCGACCGATTGATGGACTGCATTAAATCTAATCGACAAAAGCATCTTAAACGTACACAACAACGTTTGCCTGGCCCCGCTCTTGTCGGCGCACGACTGTCTGTTAGGACAAGGCGTAAACGTGTCGACATTTTATGTGAACCTATCTTACCGGAACGGGTCATTTCACCTCGTGCTAAATAAATGTTGATTTTTCGACAAAAATTCTCGAACCCGTAATATTATGGCAACCATTTCAAAAAATATGGTTACGAGGGAATCGCGTTTAAAGTTTTTCATACCGAATACGATCGAAACCCAATCCTCGCTTACTTGCTTGTTGAAAATGAATGTCACTTTTGCACGTTTTGCACATTACCAACGAAGAAATTGTAGTAAAAACTGCAAAGAAATTTCAAATGCAAGATTCAAGTAAACCGTCACCCAAAGAACTCGTTCTTTCTTTCAAACTTGCAGTAACTTCGCATTTCACCATTTTCGCGGGTTTTTCTTAGTTCACATAGAAGAAAAATGTATGAAAATGAAAATTTCTTTTGCTTTTTTTTTTTTTTTTTTTTTGAGTCAAACCAAAGTTTTAATTGGGAGGTGTGCTCTACAAATGTGCGTCACAGTCGACTCAATTTGAATATTTCTTGTTGAAAAAATTTCTACAGACTGCTGAAATATGTATGAAAATCGGATAAACAGTTCGATAGAATTCATTGTTTTTTTCCATTCTAAAAAAAATTCACGAAAAACCGCTTTTTTTAGACCTCCTAATTCAGGATACCTCTTTAAGGTCCTCTTGTTAGACTATTAGGTCCATGATCGCGGCAGTCAACGTGTCGATCGACTTGGATGTTCCCTTATCGACCGAAGGCCTTGACCTCCGCGAATTCTGTTCTGCGTTGTGCAGCGAGGAATTACTTTCTCCCGGAACCATGCCTTAGGATGGCCGCAGCGCCGTTACCGCGGTTCCCCCGACTCCTACGCCCCCCAGTGTGTATATTTAAGTATCTAGTACCGTTTCCAAATCTACCGTATGCAAACGGTGTCACGCGTCTGATTTAGTAACCTCCAAACCCCGAAGAGGATCGTTCTGGCCGGCATGTAGGCCAGCGACATCGACTCGTTCGCGTAGGAAGTTCCACGACAGTTTTCCACTTTTCCGATCGACCGTCGGTGAGACGGTTGCTCGACTACCGCGGCTGTCTCGGAACGGAAGATTATTTTTGTTCGCTGGCGAAGTTGATCGACCCCGCCGTTTCATATTTCTTGAAATTTTAGTGTCGAAGCACACGTGTTGAAAAAGAACACACCAAAAAACAAAAAAAAAAAAGAAAGAAGAAAAATTCTCACCAATTTGCAATTGGCCAACCTTACGACAGCGCGTCAACTTACTAATGCGTTTCGAGTTGCATACATTTCCGTTTTCGCTTATTTGTTCTTTTTACTGGCAACGCTATGAATTAACTAATTATATTAATAATTAATCGAGTTTGACGTTTAGCGTTGATTCATAGCGGTGGCAGTCGAAAGAAAAACTGTAAATGTTAAACTGTTTGTCTATGTGTAATTTCAATTTTTTGAGCTGAGTTAGGAAATATTTAATCCCAAAAAGTGAATACTGTGATTTTTGGCGTTTGTGTGTTTTTCCCAGTTGTTGTCTTATCGCTTCTTTTTTTTCCTAGCACGTTCCATACCTAGCTGTTTGATGTTTTGATTAAAAATTATCGCACAATATTTCATTACATCATTGATCCTTAAGTAATTAGCTTGCTTTGAATTATATCTCAGTAATAGCGTGATCAAACTGGAGTGGTTAATTTAAATCGAAATAGGCTCGTATGATTCGTATTTAGTCAAAGAAAAATCAAGTGAAATTTTGTTAAAATTCTGCATTAAATAAATTCATGGAACGACTACCTGAAGTAGTTGTTCGATAGCTGTAAAACATATATACAGGGTGTCCCAATAATGTTGGAGTTCCTTGAAAGGGGTGGTTCGGGAGGTGATTTGAAACAACTTTTTCCTTAGCGAAAATGTTGTCCGACGCTTCGTTAAGGAGATATTAACAAAAAATCCCGACCAATCAGAGCGCGCGTATACCGCTGGAACGGCCGCGGGAGCGTAGGCTAAGAGCTAAGCGGCCGCGGCAATGTCCTTCGATGCACGTCGAGTCACTTGTTCGCGTACAAACGCGGCCGCTTAGCACATAGCCTTCGCTACCGCGGCAGCTCCAACGATATCCGCGCGCTCTGATTGGTCAGGGTTTTCCGTTAATATCTCCTCAACGAAGCCTCGGACAACATTTTCGCTAAGGAAAAAGTTGTTTCAAATCACCTCCCGAACCACCTCTTTCAAGGACCTCCAACATTTTTTGGACACCCTGTATATACATATATACGTTCTTTTAAGAAAAATAAAAATATTCTTGCACTCTACAAACAATGCATTTTTATACGCTATAAGTCAGAACGTTTTAAACATGTACTTTTAGTGTAATTAATTTCTAGAGTGTTACATACTTCACTATTATACCAACGCATTCCAATTGTCAGCCGCTCTCGTCTTACGTTTCTCTTTGACTTTCTTTGTCGCGCGGTAGACTTTTTATGCGGCTAATAACAAAAATCCGTTATATATCTCGAGGCTGTGCGCCGAGTCTGATTCGATGGCAACTTAACACGTTGACCGCCATGTCACCCATATATGGGTGACAGTGCTTTTTACTGAAGAAATAAAAAAATTAATTTTGAAAGTCAAACATCAAAGAAAATGAGTTCATATGAAATATTTGAATTTCGGTGAAGTTACAAAAATACGATACCACAATAAATGTTTGATTGTGTAGTCTTCAATAGTCGGTAAATAAAATTCAATCGTAGTAGAAATTTTTAAGAGTATTAGTGTGGCAGTCAACGTGTTAACGTAGTCGATCGATACATTTTATAATATCTCTAGATGTCAACGAATCCGAGACCCATACAACGGACCTCCTCCACTTTTTAATTTTGTCACCCGTCAGTCACGTGCCCCCATTAATCACCATAAATACCCCCTGCAACCAAACTGAACTCGTACGTTTTATCAGGTAACGAAGTGTGAAAAACATTTTCTCGCGACACCCTGTATCGCAGAGTTTGCGCGTGCGTGTGTTTATAAACGATTGCGTGTATGCTCGCGATGATTGCATAACACTGGGTGAGGAAAGGGCGGGTGGGGGGGGGAGGGGAGGGGAGGGGAGTGTGTGTGTAGCCCTTGGCCGCGGGCCCAGCAGCCGAATTGAAACGACGTTCGCAATATTCACATTGGACGAACTTTGCAGGTCAGTTTCGTCGTCGGCGTACAGCAATACGGGCACCGGCGTCGGCACGGGCACGAATGTGACAGCGAACGGCACCAGCGGCGGCACCAGCAACTCCCGATACGGATTGTCCACGTCGTCGTCCTCGTCCTCGATCTCCGCGTCCTCGAGGGACAGGGCGCAACAGGAGTCCTCGAGGCACGATCACCACCCACCTAGCAGCGCAGCGGATATAATCAGCAGGTACTCGCCGTCAGGTTACGTGCCCAACATACGACAGACGAGCAACACCAGCGGTGGATCGCATAATTGGAAACACCATTCGACCGGTTCCTCGTTGACGGAGCTCTTCGGCGGGGACGAGCGCGACGTCGCTGGTAGCACCAGGGATCGTCCCGAGTCCTCGTTGTCCTCGTCCTCCTCATCGTCCTCCGCCGCTGCTGGCGGTGCACTCTGGCCCAGGTCGAAGAGGGGACCACTGTCCAGCAGCACGGTGCTCACCAGCGGCCATGTACGCGCCGAGAGTGCTGCGTCGCCTGGCGAGGTAACGAACGACGAGCGCGGCACCGTCCGCGACCTAGACCAGGACGACAACGACCTAGACGATGACGAGACGGACGACGACGACGACGACGAGAACGACAACACCGACGATGATCAGCACAACAACAACGGAAATGGAAACGATACCAGCAGCCCCGAGGACGCCTGCGGATTAGGGGTAAACAACAACGATGACGACCACGACGACGACCACGACAATCTGAACAACCGCCATCACCACCAACAACGCGCCGCTCATCGTAACGACGAGGTCTCGCCCGCTAAGCATAACATCCTTTCGCCCGTCCCCGGTGGTGTTGGCGGTGCTGGTGCTGGTTTTATCGGTGTTAAGCTCCAACTGCTCGCTAACCTTGCCACTAACACGAATAACACGGAACCGATAACGGTGATCAATAACAACGATCAGGACGAGCTAGCCCAGCAGACCGTGGACGTCGACATCGAGGACACCGGCGAGGTAATGCGCGGCATCGACGACACGATCGCGTTCCTTCAAGGCGGCCACGCCGACGATCCAGACCTCGAGGACGGTGACCACCAATCGAGCTCCGCCTCAAGCGGCAGCTCGTACGTTATCGATCATAACAGATTCGGTGGCGGCGCGACGCCACCCGTCCTCCAAAACGGCGTGGCTGGAAGACCATCCGGTACCTACGGTGACGATCCAGCGGTCCCCTCCACCTCCAGGCGACCCGACGGTCATTTCTCCGGAAACACGAACGCTGTTGGTACCAATTCCACCCCGTCGACCACTCCACCATCCACGACACACCAGAGTCTCTACCGCGGGGTCGTCGAACAGTTTGTGAGTGTCCTTAACGATTACGTGAATCTTTTCGCGGATCTAGGGACTAGCTTTCGTGTAGTACCGCGATTCTTTACCGTGTCAACGTGTCTTCCCTTACCTTGGTACTATCGTCTAGCGTCTAGCTTTGAAGCTGCCGGATCGCTTTTTGGAAGTACATCGATAATTAAGGGGAGAAACTACAAGTAGAAGGTTGAAAATTCTGCCATTTTGAATGTTGCAACTCTGATTTCTGATTCGTAATGTGGCAGCCCGAATGAATCATAAGTACTGAAATTCATGAGAATCCGAAAACTTTTTTAAATTTTTGGACAGAGTTTTGGTGATTTGGATCACTGTGCATCGGTTGATACATACAGTGGGTGCAGAAAGTATTCGTACACCGATCAATTTTTTAAAAAACTATGTAAGATTCTAATTTATTAACTTATATTTTATAAACAATGGCATTCTACATATTTTTGGAAATCTCTAGAATAGATAGAGTATTAAAAAAATAGCTATTTATGTAAGTTACGAAATTAACAAAGAAAACAATTAATCTAACAATTAACTAAATTATTAATTATTCGAAATAGGATCTTCTTCAATTTCTCTATTAGAGCCATTTTTAAAAGCACTTTCCTGGAAATTTGATGGTTTCTAATTCGAACGGAGCAATAAACTAACGTGTTTACTTTTCGCATTTTCTTTTTGTTAATTTCACAAATTATATTAATTAGTAAATGTTGTTTATACCATATCTATCTTCGAGACTTCCGAGAATATGTAAAATATCATTGATTGTACAAAAAGAATTTAAGAAACTACAATTTCACGCAAAAGTTTTTTGGGAAATTGATCAGTGTACGAATACATTCTACACCCACTGTATTTGGTTTCGCAACGTGTCGTTACGTGGAGAGGTAGACTGGAACATCGTTGAAAAGTCTGTGGTAACGTTATCACCATTTTGTTCCCCTAATCTCTGTAAAGTTTTTCGTGACGGCAGGAAGCAGGGATATGCAGGTGCGGTGTAAGATCTAACAAGGGAAGGCTCAGAAGTGATACTCACCGATTGGAATGAAATTTGGTAGAGTGATAGATCTATCGGGTTGTCCGGAAAGTCCATGTCGATTTTTGGTGGTACAGGTCTGAATATATCGAAGTGATTGAATGCAAATAACATATATACATTCCTTAAAAGGTGGAAAGGTTATGGAATAAAATGGCACCTATGTAATTCAATAAATATATATTAAAATTCAAACATGTTTTTCAATGTTTCTTAGAAATTGCCACGAACTTTCTGGACAACCTAATATATCTAGAATAAGCGTAACTGTAATATTAGCCGCAGATGGCCAGCCATTTTTGAGAAAAGTTAGTTTAAATATGTAGTAAAAGCCCATAGCGGGATGCATTCCTGTTAATACAATTTCAAGCGGTATAGGGCAGCGGCATACTGGCTAGCATACCGTCTACTATTAATGTTTGTCGTTTTTAAGAAAGTTTTATTATTGAAAACAATCTTTTGCCAGAGTAAAAATGCATTGTACAATTTATAATAAAGGTTTTCTATACATTCTGCAAAGACAGGAGTACACCAATTAGGATGAAATCTATCATAGAACCAGTAAAAGCATAGATTTAGATTACACCAAGAACATCTTACGACGACAGTTTGTCCGCATGTACATTCCGCTATGGGCTTTTACTACATATTTAAACAAACATTTCTCAAAAATGGCTAGGCATCCGCGGCTAATATTACAGATATAGATCTATCATTCTACCAAATTTCGTTGCAACCGGTGAGTATCACCTCTGAGCCTTCCCTTGTAAGATCCAAGATCGAGAACGCGTTCTCTTTATCGTGCCTGTGTCGCGGTTTATCCGTTACGAAACATCCTCGTCGTTCTCTCGAACGTTTTCTTCGGCTAGAGCCTCTCGTCGATGGTCAGTCCGCTGCTGGTTCTTATTAATAGACCAGAGCTGCTCTTTCAGCGCAGGGGAGCGAGAAGCGCGGTAAAAACGGATCTCTCATAACATAACGGTGCCTCGTGGCGACGCGTGCGTCGAGTACGCGTTACGCTATGTGCACGGACGTCTATATCGTTGCACCTGCCGTGGTGGACGCATCCGTGAGACTGTTTTTAGTCCATCGATTGACGATCTTTTCCGCAACGGAAACTTCCTCCGGATTGCTCGAGTGGGCCTGTGGTCATCGATGAGACCAGCGCGAACAGCGTGCCAGTTTAGCATTAGTAGTGCGGTGGCGGTGCTACGGAGCAGAGGACAACGTGTCGAAGCCTGAAGTCCGTAGGGGATTTCAGAAATTGTTGTTACGATCACGGGAGAGGGATTGTCAGGCTTCGAGCTTTCAACTTCTTCTCCGTCGACGCGTCCAACGATGTTCGTTCTTTCCGTTTCCTCGACTCGTCGCGTCTACGAAGGTTCAACGGAAGTCGAGTGCAGATTTTGTGGAACGGTGCCGCCGGAACTGATTCTTGATATCCGCTCCGTGTAAACTGGCTTACACCCAAATAATCGGCTGGGGGTTGTGGTGCGTGTGGGTGGTGATCGCCTTACTGTTCGTTTACGCGTTCCTGCTAGGCATCGCGACACCTCTGACATCATCGGAGAAACGTCGTGTCCGCGTCCTTCCCAGCGTTTGTTCTTTAAAGTTGCCCGATTCCTCGTTGCCTCCGCCCAATTATCGACAGCCTCCAGCCACTCCTACGAAGGTGAGTCGCGTGCCAGAGATGGGCAAATTCTTACAACTCGAACAGTAGAATTAATAAATTAACGGATAACAATTTTTATTCGTAACAGTTTCGTTCCATAGCTGACTCTCTTTACACTGGAGGTTTATTACGAAGTATTTAGGTTAATTCTTTCCATTTTATTTGATTGCCTAAGAAACATATAAATTTGATTCGAACTTTAACCCTTTCGCGCGTACAACCGCACGTGTGCTTATAATGCTCTTTGTGCCAGAAAATATATTAGATGTAGACATTATTTCTGTGCCTTTCCATTCATACATGTATAATTTTAGTTCAAGTAGAGATAATATAATTTTTTGTTGGAATATCAACATTCTAATATTTCAATCTCCGTTACTATGAATTTAAATATAATATGTAACTAGAGCGTGGATGTTTATGCAAATTCATATCTTCATAGATACAGAAAAATAATTGAAACTTGAATGAAAGTATGTCTCATCTTCTAAACAATATAAAATGTATATTATTGCTAATATTTCAAATATTTTTGAATTTGTGTCTATTCTCATAAATTTTCACATATTTGAGATCCACGCTACGCGTAATCTGAATCTCAACCTGATGGACATTATACAATTTACTTATGTATTCTTTCCATAGTCTCGAGGCGATTAAGGAAATATTGGTATGGTTCCTTCTTTTTGGGATATTTCAAAAAGAAACTGGAGAAACGAATAATACATTTGTAGAAATATTATAAAATTTGGATTTTGATCTCTGATAAAATAGATTGCATCAAAGTTCTCGACAAAGAAAAAGTTAAAGTTAAATTCGAAACAATACAGTCAGTGACTGATCTTTTTGAAACGATGTATTCCTTTTGTGGTTGAATATTGCATCACCAACTCTGACGTCTATAATTGGAATACTAATCGTTGTTTAGCGCGTTACGGACAAACGATCGTTTATATCTTATTCGTTCTTCGAATTTTTAATGCAGATAAGAATTTTGCCCATCTCTGGTTCTTTGGAAGCCATTGTTCGAGGAAAGGGACCACGGTCCGATTCGAGCATCGCGAGATGCCGTTGCCATTATGCACAGCTTCTTTTTCTGGCCTGTTCGATACTTTAGACTCTTACACGGTCTTCCCTTTTCTCAATTTACTGTGTTGGGCGTACTTTCTGTTCGGAAATATCCACACGCTGAGGTCAAACGCAACGACAAACGTACGTACCGTGCGGAGTTACTTTTCAATCCACGTCTTTCATCCTAACCAGGGTTGCTATAAGTTGATAGCCTTTGACAATAGTCAAGTCATGTGAAAATTCTTTTTTTTTTTTTTCAAAATTTTGTTTTGCCATTTTTAACTATCGGAAAATGATAAAATTAACAACAGTAGCTTCGGAAAAGTTTAAATTTTAATAAAAAACAATATTAAAAATTACGATTTTTTTTCTTCGAAAAATGTGTAGTGATCCCCTTATTTTTTTCATTTTTATTTAATATTAGAATGAAAATCTTAATGTTCATCGTTAATAAAAAAATGTTGCTTTCGCTTAATGTATGGCAACGCTGCTAGCAACCCTGATCCTAACCGAGGTTTAACCAACAATTTCGTCGCATAAAATTTCTGGCTACGTTTGGAGAATTTAAGAAACACAAATGGTTTCTTTTTCGTGCAGTAAAAAGAATACCCAGATGTTTGCAGGCGTTTGTCAGTTTTAAACGTTTCGATGTTTTCGTTCGAGTCATCTTTCCTATTTTTAATTACGATGGGTAACGATAAAGTAACATTTTTAGTGGAACTAAGGATTAATAAGTTTCTTGAAATTTTATCATTATTTGATGATTATCAAAATATTCAGTAAATATTATTAATTATAGTTACATGAATTTATCAACGCTTTATTCACTGGAAGCCTATTTATCCCTTTTTACTCAACTTTTTTTTTGTTTATATTCTATTCGTTTTTCCTTTAAAAGTTGAAACGTTTAAAATTAGTTAATATTTGCATTCGAAACTGTTCAGGCTTGGACTGTATTTATTATATTTGCGTGCTCGTGTTTTTTATTTGTGATGCTGTGTGCAGTACTTTACTATCAACGCTAATTCAATGTTCTATAACTCAACAACCAGGGATGGGGAAAAATGTATCTGAAAAAGATATCAAACCATCATACTAATTTCTATTCTGTTTTCACACTTAAGTAAAGGTTATCCGCATATTAATTTAGGTAGCTAATCACAGACTACTTTTATTTTAAACCATCATTATTTCATTGACAATTCATTAGTCACTTATGGTTATTATTTACTAGTAGATACACTGTCTTTTTGAAAGGGATCCAATATATAAGGTTAAAAACGTTGTAGTGCTTATACGGACTAAAGTACGAACACAAGATACAATTGAATGTCTATGTATTGATCATAGAATATAATGTGTTAGGTAGTTTGTTACTTGTTTTACGCATCAAATATATATTTATGTTACTCCAAAAACATGTAACATTTTTTATGGGTTTCAGTTGAAATCAGTTACTAATATAAAATGGAGAGCTAACAGAAATTTTACTAACCAAATAGCCACTGTTATACAGAATTGTATAATATAGTATGAATTATAGAATTCTATAGCATAATCAAAGAGATTATACCGTTACCAATCGAACCCACTAACTTCTTATCTATGCATAGTAGATACCTTTGATTGAAAAGATATATTTTTCACAAATACATAAACCCAGAATTAGCGTAATAGAATAATACTTTTGTTGTTTAATTCTTCCTCGAGAATTACACAAATTTCAGGCTGCATTACGTCAGCAAAAAAACAGATTCTGATATACTTCGGTTACAAAATGATTGGAATGTGCCCATCCCTGTCGACGACTAACAGACCTGTGTTCATTAGTATCGTTGTTTACTTTCGTGGAATGTTTCCATCCTTGTTGTCTTAACGAATATTACTCTATCGCACAAGCTAAGACCGCAGCCACTAAAAAGATTAATTTGCCATGCTTTTTACAACGGAACGCGACAGTATTCGACCGTTTCCAATTTTTGTAGAGACGTAGACTCCTCGAAAAAAAAAACAAAAAACAAATTAATACCAATTATAGTTACGTCGAACAAAAATTGACGTTGAATTGCTTTGCAGGACGGAAGCCCGACGAACAAATCGACACGTAATCGGCTACAAGCGCATCGTGACGAGCGATGTGGGTTAAACGGATTGCGGAATATTGGAAATACAGTGAGTATGAACAGTTATCTTGGTTTTCTGTTTTTTAAATTTGCCAATTCTGAAATTCTGCTCTTACTAACAAGGAGAGCGGAAGACCTTCGGGTCACTGATTTCGCCATTGATACATGTTGTTATCCTGTTTAAGAAAATATTAATACTCTTTTAGATGGGTATGATTGGAGTTTCATTGTCAGTATTACGAATTCAATACAGTTTTGTAAAACTTGATTGCAAATAAGGTTGTAGCTGAACGGCAGCGTATCGAATTTGCACGGTGCTAGCTTGGGTTGTATTCCTTGTGGATGATTTTTTTTTTATTTTTCTTATATTTAAAGTAATGAAATTTTGTATTTGAAGACGCGTATTGAATTTTCAATAAATTTCTAGTAGAATGTTTTTACTTGCTTAAACTTTATTACATAAAAAAAAAGACAAGATAGGAAATTTGCCTTTCGATACAGGAAATATTAAAAAAATTATTCACCGCATAAAGAAAAACGGTGTAATAATTAAAAATAGGAATATAATGTAAAAACCATTTGTCACGCAAGATAAATATTGAAATAAAAGTCTCAGACTCTTCAAAATCTTATTTATACTTTGTGTGCTGTAAATGCATAAGATGCCATGTGGACTATGGACGCACATCATTATTAATCTTTTACGTTCTACTTTCAATTACTTCCAATGAATCGATCCTTCTTCCTTTGCAGTGTTTCATGAACAGTGTGATCCAATGCTTGAGCAACACGAGACCATTGCTGGAGTATCTGCTGAATGAACAATACCTGGCGGACATAAACACCACAACATCCAGTATGAAGGGTGCCCTCATCAAAGCTTTCAGCCAGGTGATCCACGAATTGTGGGAGGTGGGTGGTGACCATGTCGTGAACACGACAGCGCTTAAGTCTCAGATACAGAGATTCGCGCCACGTTTCATGGGGTACAGCCAACAGGATGCTCAAGAATTTCTCAGATACTTGCTCGAGGGTTTGCACGAGGACGTAAACAGAGTCACGGTGAAACCACAGCCGATACACACGGATATCCCTGAGATGTACACGTAAGGAATTGTTCTTTGACGAATTGTTACCAGATTATATAACGACGATAAGTGCTCGATAATGTTTCATATGATTTTCGGTTAACAGAGACAGCCAGAAAGCTGTAGAGAGCTGGAAGCGTTACCTTCGCAGCGAAGACAGCATGATAGTCGACGTGTTTGTTGGCCAGTTACGCTCTTCGTTGCGCTGCACCTCTTGCGACCACGTGTCGGTAACCTTGGATCCTTTCTGGGACTTGAGTCTGCCGATTCCAGCCAGAAGTGGCACCGTCAAGTTGAGTCAGTGTCTAGAACATTTTACCCGAGAAGAGGTTCTCGATGGCGACGAGAAGCCCACATGTTCCAAGTGCCAGATGAGGAGAAAGTGTACCAAAAGCTTCAGCATACAAAAGTTCCCGAAGATCCTCGTTATTCGTATCCTTTTTCAAATTAATTCAAAGTCTTTGAGGAAACAGACACGAGACTTTTGATATACCTAGTAGCAGTATGTATGTAGAAATTAATATCAGTATTAATGTACAGTAGATACTCCAGTAGAGGCTCAAACCATACAAGTCCTTTTTTAAATGACTCAAATTCTTCGATATGATAAGACACGTTGTGCGGATAACAGAATACACGGATAGTAGAAGAACGTCCGTATATTAGGGAATTCGGATAATGGGGGTACGGATACGAGAGTCTCTACTGTAATTTGACTATCTTAGCATAGTAGTATCATGACGCGTTGAAAAGATGTATTTTCCTTAAGAAGGATGTTCCAGACTTGAAACGTTTCTCTCCCATGGAACGATTCCGCGGCAAGCTAAATGTAATGGTGGACTTTCCGTTGACGGGATTGGATCTCAGTGCCTTCGCCGCCCCTAGAGTTCCGGGATGTACATACAATTTGTACGGAGTCGCGAATCATTCGGGCACGACGTACTCTGGCCATTACACCGCTTATTGCAAGCACCCGTACTCGGGAGAGTGGCACGAGTACAACGATAGTCGAGTGTCCGTGGTTCCAGCGCGATCGGTTGTTTCCAGCGAAGCCTACGTGCTGTTCTACGAGCAGCAGCCTCACAGCTCTCACTTGTAACCTTACGCCATGCTTAGAGTTAAACGACCATCTTGCCTCTCGATACCTCAGTCCAGCATAGTGTAATAAATACTACTTTATCGTGTGGTATTGAAAAGCGACTAAACACTCAACGACCAATCGTGTCGTGTTCGGGTCGAGCAATACGGAGCGCGTGTATGGTGTGACATTGGCGATAATCATGCCTCCCCCTCGAGCAGATTTGGTTTTCTTCGGATGTAGATTATCACCGTGGATCGGTCGGGGACACCTCCTCCTCTCTCTCCACTTCGGCTTTTTTAGAGACCAGACGCTTTCGTGTATTTTCGAACGAGATAAGAACGCGAGTTAGACCTCCAGCAGCGTACGAGATGCTTCGCGCGAGTGAATATTTTTTAACGGTCAGGAATTCGATCGTGTCGCGCGTTCTCTTTTCAATTTGTTTTTACCGTTTCTTTTTTTCCTTTTTATAGAATGTAACGTCTACCGTGTGTTTCCAAGGACGAGTTTTGCCAGACACCAAAATATACATATATACATATATATATATTATACATACTTCGGTACTCGAAGAAAAACGAAGAGTTAATCATGACTTCGCCAAAGATCACGTATACGAAATAAAGCGCTTCGGATGTCTAGTTACTTTTGAATAGACGATATAGTAACATCTATCCTCACACTCTTCACCTGGCAATCTACAGCTATTTACTTTTGTAAAATATTTTGTTTAATAATATATCACAGTCAAGAGTTATTTATTTAATTTATGGAAAGAGAAAACTGATGAAATATTAATATATTCGATAATGACGAATATAATATATATATATATAAATATATAAATATATTATTATACGTATTACATACCAATAAAAGTAACACAGATTAAGGGAAAAATAACGAACGTACGAAATGTTTTTATTTTCTCGTAGATTCGACCAAATTTCCACGTCACGTTCTCTTCCCCCACTTAAAAATCAAATATGAACGTCATCGTAAATTAAATGTACCCGACAGTTGCGAAAAAAAAAACTTTGATCTAACGAATTTGTAAAATTACATTTCTTTTCTATCGTTTTTCCAAACGTTCTCGACGATTTTTGCGATATCGTCTGCCCGAACATGCAATCGTTTCGATGTGTCTTTCATTTCGAAGTTTTAAATTGCTTTCAAATAGTATGTTTTATCGAATAAAAATATTCAAAAAATCAAAATAGACCTATCAGTATCGAAAAGTGTGTATTGTACAATATAAAATTACTAACCAATTTCAGGCAATTGGATATAATGAATTGTGAGTAAGAACTGTTTTCCATACGTAAATTCACCGGCAGCCTTGACGTCACAGGAGTATATAGAGAATACCTTGTAATTCCTAAAGGAAATCAAAATCTACCAGGTAATATAACTGATTTAAAATACCAGTTTAATTATGCACCTTGAATCGGTGCATATGCAAGCTGGGTTAGAAACTCTTAGAGACATAGAAACAATGTAAACACAAATAATATTTTAATACTTTAACTTAAATAATATTTTAACACTAAACAAGATCAACTTAACCTATGTACTTCATGTACACACTCGTGTCAAATCACTCGATCAACATTAATTTTACTGCAATTTTAGTGCAGTTGTATGTATGATAAATAGACCGCGAATGTTTATGTATTTACAGCAAATAAACGTATAGAAAATATCAATTACAATGTAGAAAATAAGATATAGTTTCGTTCAAGTTTCAATTCTTGTTCAGTCTGTATGAAACACGAATTTCTAATGATAAATAGGCATTGATTTTCGTTATTTTAGTGTTAAAAATAGTATTCAAAAGTCTGCTGAATCAAAATCATGAACGATTATTACACATTCTTGCTATTAGATACGTGTAATTTTAAACTTGTAAAATTCATTTCGTACAGAGAACAGCGTTTTGTTAAGATATATCTTACGTTGTGCTACCCAATGGAAGTTTGTACTAAACTTCAGGTACGAGGTCAGAAGATAAATGATATAATTTATACCAAAATATTGATATACGAGGATATAGGAGACGAGATCCTGTAATTATGAGAGGAATTTGTAACGGTCAAACTTCAAAAAGTAAAAATGGTGGATCTAATATGGCGGACATAAATGCAGTGTTACTCAGTTCGGATGAAAATCAGTATTTTGAGGTTTCGAGGTCATTGATTACGAATTTAAACTCAAAATTAAGAAACTAAAAATCGCGGATCCAATATGAACTTTTCAAGTGGTGTTAATGAATGTAACATTCCCCGGTTTATTAGATTTTAATGGTTTTAAATGCCCCCTGCTTTGTTAGGTTTAAGTTGCAATTTATTTGAGATAATAACAAATTATTTGAGAAGTTTTAATAAAATTAATTAATACACAATGGAAGATTTCCAAAAGTGTCTTTCTTCTATTGTATACTATAATCCATGATTATTAACACAATCTTATATTAATAATATAATACAATAATAGAAGCGTAGAACATAGGAGAATAAAATGGAGCTGACCATATATCTATATATTAGGTTGTCCCAAAAGTTTCTTTCGTTTTATTAATAATTAATTCATACACAATATTTTATGTTTTATGTTACATTACAAAATTGTGTAAAATTCATTTCACTCCATTACTCTTACAGCATCAATGTCTAAGAAATTATATTGTCCATTTATAAAAACAGTGCCAGAAAATAAGTGAATGCAACTCACGAAAGAAATTTTTAGGACAACCTGATACATATACAGGGTGTCCCAAAAATGTTGTAACACCTTGAAAGGGGTGGTTCGGGAGGTGATTTGAAACAACTTTTTTCTTAGCGAAAATGTTGTCCGAAGCTTCGTTGCGGAGATATTAAACGAAAATCCCGACCAATCAGAGCGCGAGTATGCCGGTTGAGCGTAGGCTACGCGATAGGCGGCCGCGCTCATACGCTACCGCGAGCGCTCCACCGGCATACTCGCGCTCTGATTGGTCAGCGTTTTCTGTTAATATCTCCCTAAAGAAGCCTCGTACAACATTTCCGCTAAGGAAAAAGTTGTTTCAAATCACCTCCCGAACCTCAAATCACCTCTTTCAAGGTGTTACAACATTTTTGGGACACCCTGTATATGTTGATTTTCTACGATCAGCCAAGCTATCTGAGCCCACTACTCGAGGGCGTATACCAGGTCTTCACAGATAAAAGGTTAATCATCGATTACTAGATTCAATTGGCAATTAACTTCTTTAATTGCGAAAATCACTTGCTCGCGGCTATTAGAATGTAAAATTATTAACTGTCAATTGCTCCTAACTAGCAACGTAATTAGCCACAGGCCCCGGAAAGTCTAGGTCCGTGGTTGCGTTTGATGCGCGACCTCGTGATAGATAAGAGATGGTTGCGCAAGCGCGAGCGTATCCCCTCCACCGTGATAACGGTCGGTCAATTCGCGCAAATCCTGCTGCAGAATTCGCGATACAGATGGCGACGTTGCGCTCGGTTTGGTTGTGACTAGCTGCCACGCGTGCCGCCGAAAGAATGGAATCGTCGTCTCGTCGCCGGCTCGTGCACATCATTTCACCCTTCGTGCACGTACACGGTCTATTAACCGTGTGCGTTTCGTTCCGTCGTCCATAGACACGCGCATGATACGCACGCACACACGCACACGCAAGCATGTGCTCCGTGGTGGGGATAGGGATAGAGCTAGGGTTTCTAAATCCCTCGTTCTTTCTCCCGCGAAAAGAACGGGGTTTTTTTGCGATCCGGGTGGCTGTGCAGTCTCTCGCGCCGGGAATTCGCGAGGACACGCAAAAGTGCGGGCAAGACGTGAATATACTCAGTGCACTCCGCCGGAATACATGTGTATCGGCCACCCGCGATAAGTTTCAACGTGCGTCCTGGCCGATTTCATCGAGAGAAGAAACACACTCTCGTTCGCGAGTGATCGTCTGCCGGTCGTTTGTCGTCTGATGTCTGATCGTCGAGACGGCTCGATAGTCTCGAGATTCGGACTCGAGGGAGGGAAGCTCGACCCCCAGCGATGGGAACGACAACCTCGCGAGTGCTGGCCGATAGTGATGGGAACGATACCGAATTGATATCGATACCAGACCTCTCGAATGGAATCTAGTGTCTAACGTGTATGCATGTATCTAACGAAATCGTGAGCTGTTTTGTTCTTTTACGGTCTAGAGAACTGACGGAGCCTGGTGATGGAGGTAGAACTGTCACTGATACCAAGGTAAAATGAAAACGTTTAATCCTTTGCACTGGAGAGGCAACAGCCTTTATTGATATTAGATTGAATCTCGAAGTATTGGTAACAGTCTACGTATAGATACTTAAATTCTTTATATAGATTCTTTTCGGAAGTGTAAAATGGCACACCCTGAAATACCGATGAGATTTCTTATCTAACATTTTTATCCGACAACGTCTCCTTCTCTGCACACTTATTTCGGAAGTTTCGATCGTTTCGAAGTCTCGATGCTCTAATCGAGTGCCCTATCTTTGTTGCGAAATCATTTCGAGCGAATATAAATTTCATTCTATACTGTTACGAGACTCTAACTACTTTTAATATGACTAAACAAAATAAATATCTTATTTTTTATTATAAATCAAATATAAGATAATACGTTATAGAGTATATATATTTCACTGGGTAAGAAAAATGTTAACTTGTGCGTTAAAATCCGAACGAACGTTTCGGGCAACCTAATAACTTGCATATAGAATCATTTTACGTTAGATGCAAGAAGTTTGTTAAATATTTAACAAATCGTGAAGAGTCGTTGACTTGCTCTAGTGAAAATGTCCTCGAGTGCAAAGGATTAATAATTTTTCTATGTTTTTACCCTTCATCGTGATTAGAAATTTCGTTTATCTAATGTTCTCCAGTGTTAACACACAATCGAACACGTTAACACGTAATCGAACCAGTTTTTCGGTAAGCTTGATCTCTCAAAGAACGTATGATTTTATATTCGAAACGAACAGAAATACGATGTATACCGATTATTTTTACGAATTGGCAGTAAAGTGCGAACGATAGAAAAATGAGATGAGAATATTTTTATCGAGTTTCTTGCTTTATTACTTTCTTGACGCTCAAACGTTTAAGGTTAGAAAGTCACGCGCAACCAAATCGAAAGAACTCTTTATCGTGGGTAATCGAAGTTTTATATCAATATTTGGTTAATATTTCGATGTTATGGTTATGCTTGTAGCAAAACGGTGCATCTACGAGTTAAAATGTTCGGTAGTTCGAACCGAGTAGTTTCATATTTTAGTTTTCGTGGATGGTAAAGCTGTAAATGTAAATGTAAAGCTTCTTTCTCATTTTTTATGCATCTACACGGGTATCGATGTTTAGTCGGTATCGCGCGGTAGCGGTATCGACCAACTATTTAGTAGAAAATTATCCGTATCGAAAGTCGATTCCGAGTACCCAGTCTTCGATACCTCGTACTTCTTAATGTTACATGTAGTCACTTTGGCATCGAATTGCTCGAGTACAGCGATACCTAATCGTATTAGTCTCATCGCTAGTATCTACAGTTTTTATGAAAGTATTTCAACTATACAAACGTAATGTTATAGAGTTGTTTAACAGTATACAGGGTGTCCCGTATAATGCGTTAGAACGTGTGGTCATAAATAGGATCAAACGAAACTACTGACTTGATTTTTGCTACTTAGACATTTTTGCTGCTTAGAAACTTTTGCTATTTTGTTACTAGAAATTTTATTTTTGTCATTTCGGCGCCATTTTTGCGATTTTTAACCATCGTGGACCAATATCGGTAAAATTCTTAATGAATTTCTTCTCTTGTGTTTAACGTTGATTTTTCATGTATATATTTAAAATTTGGCAAATTTTAACTCAAATGTATAGGACGCTGCTATTACTATTATTATCATTATTATTGTTAGTAAACGTCTGTATTATGGACATTGGTACAGTGTATATCGCTTACGAGAATCTTATTCGTGTAAAGACGAACCGAACCTCAACGCTATTATCAGCAACAGTTTTACAAATTTTCCAAATTAAAAAATTGAAAGTAGACCGACACCCTAGAGTGGTATTCGAAATGACGTGAATTCACGTCAATGAAACCAAGGAATAGAATTTGAAATTACGTGAATTCGCGCGAGTGACAACCAGGAATAGAATTTTAAATGACATGTCAGCAGTCGCGAATGTGTCA